CCGTACGGGAATGTCTTGGGCCGTCGCCGATACTTTTTGGGCCGTCTTGGGTTTTGTTAGGCCGTCTTTGGTGTTGGACAGTTTGGGGCTCTCTTTGGGCCGTCCTTGGCCGTCTAGGGGTCCTTGATGGGATTTCAGCGGGCCTCATTTGCCACTCGAAAAGCTCAAGTGGCCCAGAGCGTTGAAGGCGAAGCATAGTGAAAACATCAGAATAGAAAAGCAGTGCCGTTCAGGACAACCTTGAAATCGTCTTCGAGGGAAATGGAGCCTCTTGGAGGCCAGAATATATTCGGCGTTACTTGGGAGTTGGTGGGTGCTTCGTGCAGCAACGATGGGCCATCTTAGCGGCCCTGGTAGTCTTAGCCGGCCGTCGTGAAAGCCGCTGAGAGCGCTGGGGAGGCGTCGGGAAGTCCAGGAACCCTCGAGAGGGCGGGTGCGGAGCACACGAGTTGGCTTGCGATGGGCTAGGAGCCAGGTGCGCGTTCTCTAGAAGACTGCCGGAACCCTACCACAGAGCACGGGGCCTTCCACCGCGTTGGCACATGCTGGAGGGCACGGTGGCAGAGTCATCTGAACTGATGTTCCCAACAATTCACCGGGAGAAGCACTTGAGACCCCACCCTGTTTCGGCGAAGCTATACCCCAGATTCAGATTTCGTAATAAAAGGAAGGGGGTTCACAACCCTCCCAGAGGAGAAGTCTTAGACCCCCCCAGACCATCCATGAAAGGGCGGCCCTTTGCCCAGACCCCCCCAGAACCCTCCAAGACAGCTCAAATCAGACCCCCCCCCAAATGTGACCCCCCCCACTTTATTTCGGATTCTGGCTTCCTGGAAGTGATATCCCTTTCCTCGCCCGCCTTCCTGCTCTCCCCCTTCCCTAGCCGCCATGGTGGGCCATGGCGCTGCCGCCCCGCAGCTCTTGCTCGCTGCCGCCGCGCCCCTGCTGCCCCCCTGGACGCCCGGACGCCCCGTCCACCGGCGCCCACGCGAGTGCGTATGGCAACGCACGTCAAGTTGGAAAACATGCATGAAGCATTTTGCTCGAGGCAGTCCACGGGCGCTTGCACTGTTTCCCCTTGTCCGGCGCCTCGCGCCTGCTGACGCGGATTGCTTGGCCTGCGCTCGGGCCCCCCGGACGCCGTCCCCGCCGACCGCTGGCCGCACCGGCCGCTCACGGCGGACCTGTTCCACTTCTGGGCGTTCGCCCTCCCCCCCCCCCCACTTGGTGCCGCCCTGTCCTTCATCTTTCCTCCTCCTGCATTCCGGCCAATTCACTTTGTAGTGCCCCTGCATCGCTGCCACGCTGGAGCGGATTGCCCCGCCTCGCCGCCGAAAAAGTTTCCTCCGACGTATCGCTGGTTGCCTGCTGCCGTCGTGTGTCATTGGTTGCCTGCGGCCATGGATGTGTCACTCGTTGCCTGTTGTCTCAGACGCGTCGCGTCTTGGGCCCGACAGATCAAACAGAGGAGGTAGTAAATGAGATCAAACATAGGAGGTAGTAAATGTAAATCCTCCCCCTCGGTGGCCCAATGTTGGAGGCATCTGTTGGCTTTCTTGGCCGCCTCTTGGGGCCTTCTGGGGGCCGTCATGGGGCCCTATGGGTGGGTCTCAGAGGTCTCGTGGGGCCGTTTGGGATCCCATGGCTCAACACCAGAGGGGTAGTTAAGTTAGGTCCCCTCTTCGGAGGCTCACAAATGGCCTCTTGAGGCGCCTTTGGGCCTCTATTGGCCTTCTTGGGGCAGTTTTGGGACCATCCTGGACCCCTCTTGGGGCTCCCTTTGGCCGTCTTGGGGCCATTTTAAGGCCTAAGATGCCGATCGAAAGCGAGTAAGCAGCAAGAAGGCAAAACCCACTGATGTGTGAAAGGTTGTTGGAGGATGTTTGGCATCTTCGAAGGTGTCTAGGAAGTTTCGAAGGGCACTTGGAACCGTCTTAAGGTTGTCATGGGGCTTCTTGGAATAATGCCAGCGGCTATTTTGAGTCATCTAAAGCTATCTTGAGCCGTCGTGGAGGCCGCCTTGGGCTGCCGAGGGCCCTCTTGTAGCCATCTTGGGCCATCGCGGACGCTTGAACTACCCGCCCCCCTCCCTCTTAGGCCCAGGGGAGGGGGCAGGGGGGGCAGGGGGGGGGGGTCAAGACACTCCCTCTGCCCGCAAGCCGTCTCGCTCATTCTCACCCGCCCTCCCAAGACAAAAGTAACACCCGAGTCTTTGCATGCCGCCCAGGAGCGCCACACATGCTATGTGCGTGTGCGCCACGGGTTCCAGGTGCACCACGCACCCTGGAGGCCCAGGCGTGGCAGCGCGGGCAGCAAGGCGCCCCTGTCAGAACCGATGCAAAGTGGTCGCTGGGCACCTGCGCGTGCTCCAGATCTGGAGGCAAAGTGTACTTTGTATTGCTTTTTTGACAGGGGATGGTTGGCCTGCGCGCAGCAAGCCATCTGCCGGCACCCCCGCCACCCCAGCCAAGAACTAACGCAAAGTGGTCGCAGGGCGCCCGCGCATGTTCCAGAATTGGAGGCAAAGTGCATGCCGAATTGTTTTTGTGGGTTTCATTGGTCTGGGTTGGTTGCTGTTCGCCTGGGGGAGGGGTTTTACACGAATAAGGAACAGTGATCAGCCCGTCCTCCGAGCAGGGTGGGAAGGGGACGAGAAGACGAAATTCGTTAAACACCTACGCCCATGGGCTGGTGGGATGTGGACCCCAGCGAGGTTCCAATAGCATTCCAATCGGATCCCCTCAGGCTCAGGATCATAATCGGATTCTAACAAGGTTCTTCGGCTCCAGCAGGGCCCCCAAATAATCCAAGTCTCAAGTAAGACTAGAATTGACGAGCGAAAAGCACACCCATACCCATAGGGGGTTGGAAGGACGAGGACTGGCTCTGGGTATGGGCGCAGTTTGTCGGACCCCCGGGGAGGCTTCTGTCGAGCGGGGACCCCCATCCGGCAAGGCGCACCCATAGTCCCATCCGCCACCGCTATTATATGGATTGCTCGTGCGTAACGAATCATTTTGCAATCGGATTCCGTTGTCGTCGTCGTCGTCGTCGTCGTCGTCGTCGTCGACGTCGGCGGACACACGCAGCCCCCCCCGGGCATCTGCAGGCAGCGCGTTGGCGTCGTCGTAGGCTCGATGGTGTCGATGGGTCTCATGTCCAGGCTTGCGTGGTGTCGATGATAACCCATGCAGGGTTCCTGATCGATGGAAACGTCATGATAATAGTTGCTTTACTCTTATTTACTCTTATTCCCCCCGCCCCCCCGTGGGGTTATTCAAGTCATGACTTTGCCAAGGTGCTAGACGGTATCGTGCGGTTGCTCCTTCCCCTCTTGAATTATTGCATTGTTTTGAGTGTTACTGATAACGTTGAGAGTTATCAGTTGCTTCTCTCGGTTGTGCTCGTGGGCATTCGTCTCGTTCTCCTCGGACTTCCTTTTCTTTTCCGTTCCGGTACCTAGTCCTGTTCCGCCACATTCTCGCCTTTCTCGTCGTCGTCGTCGCCGTCTCTCCGTCGTCTCCGTCGTTGTCATCGTCGTCATCGTCGTTCTTCTCCTCCTCCTTCTCCCCCTCTTCGTGATCCTTGTGCTGTTGCTGTTGCTGCCGCTCCTTCATGTGGTTCGCACTCGCACCCCCGAGTCCATTCCCCTGCTCCCTTGCTCCCCCCCTCCACGAGGAGGGGGAGGAGGAGAAGGAGGAGGAGGAGGAGGAGGAGGACTAGCAAGGGCCGAGCAGGGAGAGCAGGACTAATAGGAGAGGGTGGAGGAGGACGTACACGAGAGGGCGAATGCGAGGAACATGTGAAGGGGGGCAGGAGCAGGTGCAGCAGGAACAGAAGGGAGAGGAGGAGGCGAGGGAGGCGGAGGTGGAGGAGAAGGCTGAGCAGGAGGAGGAGGAAGAGCAGGAGGAGGATTTAAACCCGCGTGCTCCCGCCCGTGAGTGGGTGCCCCTGGTCTCGGCACTCCGCGCAGGCAGAACGGCCCGAGGCGGGGTGGGCCAGCGGCCTCATCTCACGGCGTCGTACTGCCGCCACTCTGTGACTCATGGAGTCGCCCCGTGAGCAGCGGCAGTCTGAAGAAATGCTGCCGCCGCCCACTCAGAGCTTGAGGAGCAGCCTGATGGACGGCCGCAGCCGCTCCTCAGCTCTGCGCTCTTCCAGGGACCGCCCTGGCTGCTGGTCCCTGGACTCTTGGGCCTTCACGACCGCCTTGCCTGGCGCAGAGCTGTGGCCTAACCCCTCGCCACGCTGGGGCGCGTTGCGGCCTAACCCCTCGCCGCGCAGGGGTCCTCCGTGGCCTAACCCCTCGCCGCGCTGGGGTCTGCTGGCGTCTGGCCCTTCGCCGCGCTGGGGTGCTCCGTGGTGGCCTAACCCCTCGCCGCGCAGGGGTCTGTTGCGGTCTAACCCCTCACCGCGCTGGGGTCCGTCGTGGCCTGATCCCTCGCCACACTGGGGGTCGGTGCGGTCTAACCCCTCACCGCGCTGGGGAAACCCTTGGCCTAACCCCTCGCCACGCTGGGGGCTGCTGCGGTCTAACCCCTCACCGCGCTGGGGTGCTCCGTGGCCTAACCCCTCGCCGCGCAGGGGCCTTTTGCGGTCTAACCCCTCACCGCGCTGGGGTCCCATGTGGCCTAACCCCTCGCCACGCAGGGGCCTGCTGCTGTCTGACCCATCACCTCTATGGGGTCCTCCGTGGCCTAACCCCTCGCCACGCTGGGGATCGTTGCGGTCTAATCCCTCACCGCGCTGGGGTACTCCGTGGCCTAACCCCTCGCCACGCTGGGGCCTGCTGCGGTCTAACCCCTCACCGCGCGGGGGTACGCCGCGTCTCGCACTGTGCCCGTCCTCGGTGCTGCTGCCCCCTGGCTCGGGCGAGGTCCCCCGACTTTGCCTCTCTCTGTGTTCGCGGTTCACGTGGTATCCGCGGGCCGTGCCCCCCCCCCTCGCGTTCAGCCTGTCGGTTTCCCAGGGTATGGGCCCGCTCTGTTAGTTGCGAGGTCCTGTCTACCACACTGTTGGTCAAAAGGTCCGCGTTGTGCTCACTGGGCACGTCATAGGCTTCCGCCTCAAGCCTCTGCTTGCCTTTGGTCCTGCGGTCTACCCCCTCACCGCGCAGGGGATTTCCGTGGCCTAACCCCTCGCCACGCAAGGGCGCCTTGCGGTCTAACCCCTCACTGCGCTGGGGAGGGTCGCCGTAGATCTTATCCAAGTCCCGCTGCAGGTCTGTGTCGTCGTAGTCTGCCGCCTTCTCAGGCTGCGCTGTGTTGCGGCCTAACCCCTCGCCACGCGGGGGAGCGCCGAGTCTCGCACTGTCCCCATCCTCGGTGCTGCTGCCCACTGGCTCAGGCGAGGTCCCCCGACTATGCCACTCGCTGTGTTCGCGGTTCACGTGGTATCCGCGGGCCAAGCCCTCCCCCTCGCGTTCAGCCTGTCGGTTTCCCAGGGTATGGGTCCGCTCTGTTAGTTGCGAGGTCCTGTCTACCACACTGTTGGTCAAGACGTCCGCGTCGTGCTCACTGGGCTCGTCAGGGACCTCCGCCTCGATCCTCTGCTTGCCTTTGGTTCTGCGGTCTAACCCCTCACCGCGCTGGGGCCCTCCGTGGCCTAACCCCTCGCCACGCTGGGGTCCTCTGCGGTCTGCCAGGTGGTACCCTATGCTGTGCTGTACATCTGGGAGCTGCTGGTGGTTGTCATCGCTGTTTTGCTTGTCTACGGCCTGCTGGGGGCAATCCTCGCTGTTCTCCTCTTCAGGGACGCGTTTGAGGTCTGCCATGTCCTTGGTGCTGCGTCCTGCTGGTGGGGGACGGGCACCCCTCTGCATCCCGTCTGGCGCAGGGCTGTGGCCTAACCCCTCGCCACGCTGGGGTCCTCCTCGGCCTAACCCCTCGCCGCGCAGGGGTCCATGGTGGCCTGTCCCCTCTCCGCACTGGGGCCTCCTCGGCTGTCTGGCTGGGGCCCTACTTGGCACTCGCCCTGCTGCTTGCGGTCGCGGGCTGCGGCTCCTCACCTCTGGCTCAGCCACGCCCAGGATCTGCTCAGCCGTTGCTCTGCGCCGCTCTGCCTCCTTCGGGCCCTGCTGCTGGATCTGTCTGCGCGCCTCTCCGCTGTTGAGCCATGCCAGGCGGCAGATCTCCTCAGCCGCTCGGCGCTGGCTGCGCTGGCGGCTCGTCCCTGACTCGTTGCTGAAAAGCCTCTGATAGACGCCAGTCTGCAGCGCCCTCAGCACATGGGGCACGCACGCGGCCTGCCACGATGGCCAGCCCTGCTCGCCCTCTTTCTGGCTCCAGCAGCCTGCCAGCGACTGCGTGAGCTGCTCGAGCCTGTTCCTCTCGAGCCACGCCACCTCCTGCTCGGGATCCTGGTCAGCTTCTCCTTTGTTGTGTCGAAGCCTTGGGTGGAGCAGGCCGACCTCGTCGGCTTCGCTCACGAACTTCATCAGGTCGGGCCCCACTGGCTTGGTCAGCGTTACTGCCACCTGCGCTGCCGTCTGCGTCAGGCTGTTGGCGTCGTGCCTCTGATCAGGTCCCGCCATGGTCTCATTCTCCTGGCTGCTCGGCTCACCCTCCAGCTCTGGGGCTTCACTGTCTGGGGTAGAGTCGTCATCGTCCAGGTTCTCTGGTGACCACTCTCGGCTGGCCTCCGCTGTTCTCGGCAGCGGCCTGCGCTCGCTGCTGGGGATGCTGTGCGCTAGGATGTTGTTCCTTCTATTCTGGAAGGCGTCCATGTGCACTCTAGCTGCCTGCTGCCTTGTACCATACGGGAGGGTGAGCATCCTGGTCATGAGCCTCCGTCGCGTGCGGTGCGTGTTGCGCCAGACTTCTTCGCAGAAGTCCTTGATCTGCTGGAGCTCCTGCACGGTGACGGCCCTGGTCTGCTCTAGCGTGTCCGTTCTGCCACCCACATTGGTGATGGCCAGGAGGTACGGTACGCAGTGCTCCATCCAGTCGTCCATATCGTCCCAGACCTCTTGGTCGACCATGTTCATCCACTGCTCCGCGTAGCCCTCCATGTGGTCGACGAGCCTCCAGCTGGCGTGGACGACAGAGTGCGGATGGCTGGGTGGCTGCTGTGGAGCTGGCTGCGGGTCCCCTGCCTCTGAGCTGTCCCCGTCCAGATCGATCGCCTCGTGGTTACTCGGGCCAAGCTTGAAGACTCCTGGCATGGTGATCTCTTCGAGACCCTCATCAGCTGGGTCTGCTGCTGGCTTAGCTCCTCTTGGCAGCTTGCCCCTCTGCATGTCCTCCAAAACTCGCCGCCCTGCTGCTGTTTGGGGCTGACATTGCCTTGCCAGCTTCCTTGCCACTCCTGCCACGATCCTGCTCTTGTGGTCCCCAAGGTAGCTGGTGCCGCCACATTTCTCGCACCAGAGCCAGCCATGGGTGTACTGCGTCTTGTGGGAGACGTGCACCACCTGCGTACCGCTCTGCACCGCCTTGAAGTCGAGCCTGACGTTGCCGTGCTGGTCCTGGTGGCCGCCTTACTTCCCGAGGCATTTTCCCGTCTCTGCCAACCAGTCTCTGATGCTTTGTCCTTTGGCTGGGCCACTGCGACACGTTGCGCACCACCATCGCGGATGTAGCTTTCGCAGGTCGTGTCCCTGCTGGGCTGCCCTGTCCCCCACCGTCTGCGGCTTTCGCCGCTTGGCCTTGGGACGCTGAGGGGCCTTGTTGGGGTCCTCCACCATCGCCGCCATGTTGATGGCCAGCAACCGGTTCTGCACCGCCATGGTGATCTGGTCTCTGATCTGCTGCTGCGCGATGATGGCTGGGTCCAGTGCTCCGTGCTCCGCCCCCCAGCCCGCGTACTTGTCTGCCATCTCGTTTCCTATGACCCACCAGGTGAGACCACTCCACCTCTCCAGCTCGGCTGGGTGCTCAATCAGGTGGCTCGGGATGTGGTGGCCCATGATGGTGTCCGTGCTGTTCTGCAGCTGCTGCTTCGTCTGGAGCCAGAGGTCGTAGTTCGTGCTCCTGTAGCCCAGATCCTCAGGGTCCTGGATCTGCTTGAGTGCGTCCAGGGCGTATTTGCAATCGCTGACTATGTTGAGCCCCCTGGCTGTCGCCGCCGTGGTGTACCCGATGGCTTTGCTCATGGCGGTGAGCTCTGCCCGTGGCACCGTGTGCGGTGCCCTAATTGTGCCGCACCAGGCAGCCACTTCCTGCGGACGTCCTTGTTCGTCGAACCTGAAAGCCACCACTGCCCAGCCGCAGCGTCTGAGGCGGGGGCCCCTGGCCGTTTCCCCTGCACCACCTGAGCCGTCCGTAAAAACATAGTCTGCTCGAACATTGTGTCCTGACTGGGCTGCCGCCTGAGCCTCTTCACTGGTGCAGAAGATCTGCGCCGCCTTCGCCGCGCCCTCGTCTGGGTCGACCTTGGCTGCCCAGGCCGCTGGCGGGATGCCTCGGAGCCAGATATGCAGGTCCTGCCGCTGGTCCAGCGCGTCCTTCGCCTTCTTCGCCAGGTCGGTGCCATTGCTGTGCCCTATCTCTGCGTTGGCAGGGCATGCGTAGTAGCGGTGTTCCTCTGTCTCTATCGCCTCGCCGCATCTCGCGCAGGTGTCGTCGCCTTCTTGGTTGAGGTTGGCCGCCCTGCGACGCTCCCTGGTCCAGATGCCCGCCGCCGCTATGGTCTCCAGCATGGCTGCCTCTGCATGCTGTCCTTTACGCCTCCTCCTCCTCAGGTGGCGCTGCAGCTGATAGAGGTCGCCTCCAGCCTGAAGTCCTTCTCCACTGCGATGGCCAGCTGCCTGCTGCCAGAGCTGCTGCTGCGCGCTCTGCTGGACTTCATGCAGGAGCGCGCCGAAGTGGGGAATGTCATCTGGCTTGTAGGCCCACTCGTCTCCTGCTGGGCTAATCCAGCTGTCCAGGCGTCGCGGTATCCAGCCCAACCCAAGCAACTGCACAATGACCCCTGCCATGGGCCCTTTGACCTGCTGCCACCTGCGGTTGGGTTCCAGGGCGGCCAGCTTGGCGTAGAGCAGGAGCCAGCCCCTCTGGCACCTCTTGAGCTCCGTCGGGTGGTCGACTACGGTGAGCCAGAACTGCTTGATCTGGTCGCCGATGGCTCGGGTTACTGCCTCTTGCATACCCCTCTGGATCAGGAGGATGGTGGACGTGCAGCGTCCTGCCTTGTGTCCGCCTGCGAGGAGCGCTGCCTCCGTTGCCCTGACCAACTTCGCCTCCGTGGGCGTGATGCCGTGCGCTGGTAAGTCCCAAGCCTGCTGGCAGTAGGCACCTGCTGAATAGACCTTTGCCGCGCCTCTGGCGTCCGTTTTCGCTAGGCCCCTGAGCTTGGCCACCCTCTGCTTGGCCTTGGCCTGGCGCGCGGCATGGGTGGGTCGCCGCAGCTGCTTTCCAAGGCTGGTGTCCACGCCGAGGTCGCGCCCCCGGTTGCTTGTTGGGGGTGCCCAGGCTGTCCAGGATGCTGGCGACTTCTGCCTGGAGGTCCTTGTCCGAGGCCACCACTGCCGTCTTGACAGAGATGGGGATCGCGAGCCGCTTGAATCCATCGTGCACCAGCGCTGCCACGTGCTTGATCTGGTCAATGACCTGCCGCCGCGCGCCCTCTACCTGCAGGGCCAAGTCGTCCAGGCACTGCTGCATGACGACGAAGATGTGGTGCCTGTGTGCAGCATCCAGGATACCATACAAAAGCGGTCTGGTGAGGTCTACCGCTTGGCCACAGCCAGCTACCATACTGTTGGCAGGCTCGAAGATGTCCGAGAAGAGGCCGTGGGCCATGATGGCCCTGGGCGCAAGGTACATCTGCACGGCCATTGCCAGCGGCAGCAACGGGTACTGGAGGGCACTGGCCTTCTCGATCAGCTGGTCAAGGCCTATGTTGTCGTAGAAGTTTGCCGCGTCGTAGAACACTCCTGCTGCATGAAAGCCCATCTCCGTGGCGGCTTCTGCCCTCATCAGTCTGCGCATTGCCACTCGTAGCGCTGAGGAGCCAGCTACTGCCGTATCCCAGAAGCCCGCCGCTGCCTTGCTCCAGGTGGCTACTATGGGCCTCCTGGCTGCGCTCCAGATGCGGTACGGCATGGGCATGAGGCCGATGGGGCGCTCTCCACCGATTCCTGGTTTCTTACCCAGCAGCAGCTCCAGCACCAGGTAGAATTGCCACGGCCAAGCTTCCCGTTGCTCACAGCTGGTCAGGCACTGCACGAAATCTTCCAGCCCCTGGGCGCCCATGGCCTTGAGCTCTGGAGCCCTCCACCAGTCCGCTCCTTGGCCAGCATTGCGCTTCAGGTGCTGGATGATGGAGCCTATGATGTCCTTGCTGATGGGCTCGAGGGCATTCTCTTGGGCCAAGGCAGCCTGCCTCAGCTTGGCCAGCGCCTCTTGGATCCTCTCGGCCTTCTGCGCATCTCGTGTCCACCTGCGTTGCCATGCTTCCTCGCGCAAGTCCACCAGCTGCTGCGGGTGGTTGATGACCTGGCCCTCGTGCTCTAGGATGTCCTCCAGATGGCTGCGCTCCGCTGCCTTGGTGTAGGCGTGGGCCATCTTCGCACTGCCTGCCGTGGCGTCGTGCACCCAGTGGATGTACGCCTTCTTCACCGCCTTTGTGAGTAGCTTGGCCATGCTCTTTACCTCCTCTGCTACCCTGCTGATCGTCCCTGGGTCCACGAGGGCGCCCTCTGCTATCGCATTCAGGTCTGCGAGGAGGGCCTGCTGCTGGTCCTTGGCTGCACCTTCTTCGTTCAGCCTGCCTGGGTCAGGCTGGTTGAGCTGCTGCGCAAGCTGCCGTCTTGTGTTGATATGCTGCTGCGTCTGGCGGCCACTGTGGGTGCAGACCTGCTGCTCTCGGCGGCTACTCTGGCCACTGCCTGTGCCTGGAGCATCATGTAGTTGTCTTCGCGCTGCTCCTTCTGGTGCTCGTTCGCCTATAACTTCTCGCATAAACCTCCGCAGGTTTGCGAGCTCCCTCCAATGCATCATTTCCAATTCATGCCTCCTCGTCGGCTCCTCTCGCGTAAGTCCTTGGAGAAAGCCTTGGCGCCGTGGTTCTGCATGTCTCCATGCTCGCTCGCAGAGGTCCCTGATGATGTGGCTGAGGTCGGCCTGCTGGTACCTACGCCTGAGCAGTCTCACCATGCCATTGTTGCCTCCGCCTCCCAGGATGGTCTCCAGGAACGGCACACATATCTGCATCCAGTTGCTGTTGTCCGTGGGGAGCTGCACCAAGTTATCCATCCAGATGGCCGCCCAGTACTCCAGGCCGTCTCTCATGGCCACGTAGTCTTCTCGCTCTCGCTGGTGTTGGTCATCATTCCAGGGGTCTGATGGGGGCAGGCCCATATCTCGTTGCTCATCTGCCTCTGGGCTTGGCGGCGCTTGGTTCTGACTCCCCAGGTGATCGGTACCCTCTGCCTCCAGAGTGCCGGCTGGCAGAGGAGGTGAGCAGTGCGTGTCACCTGGGGCGGTTTGACCAGATCCAGCTGCATGACGACGAGCGGTCTGGCCGCAGCCGATGCTGTCCTGCTGCCCCTCGATGCGCTGGTGGTACCCATCGCAGTCCTCCTGGTCGGCGGTCTCCTGGCGGTACTGCAGGCAGTCCTCCTCCTCCTCGAAGGGGTCGTGGTCTTGGACGTCCATGGTGCTGCGTCCTGCTGGTGGGTGAGAAGCAGGTCCAGCTGCTCGACGGCGAACGGTCTGGCTGAACTCGAGGCTGGCCTGCTGCCCCTCGATGTGCTGGTGGTACCCATCGCTGTTTTCCTGGTCTGCGATCTCCTGGCGGTACTCCAAGTAGTCCTCCTCATCCTCGAAGGGGTCATGATCTTGGATGTCCATGGTGTTGCGTCCTGCTGGTGGGGGAAGGGCACCCCTCTGCATCCCTTCTGGGCAGCTGTCTGCGCTGCTGTGGGTTGGTCCCACGTGGAGGTCTGGGACGCGTCCCGTGGCGGCGCGCTCGAGGGACGGGAACCCCTGACCCATCTCAGAGCAGGGGCCAGCTGCCTTCCCATGGTCCGCTGCGCTGGCCTGGACCTCAGCCTGAGGGGGGGGGGACCTCCTCGAGCGCTGGCTGATTCGCGATGTCGTTGGTGCTACTGCCGCCGCCTCCTGCTGCGCCTCCACTGCCTGCGCTCCGCCGCTGCAGCTCGGGGGGGCCCTTACCCCGCTCGGTGGGGGCGCATTCCACCGAGCTTCCTCCCGAGCTCTTCGATGGGCTCATGGCTGGTGCGGGGGGCCCGTCTTCGTGGCCTACCTGGCTGCCAGACATGACGGGGCCAAGCTCCGACTCCAACGGGCCCTGTCCTCCTCCCGAGTCCTCATCGGGGAGTGCATGGGTCTTGCCCTGTCGGCTTGCCGCTGCCTCCTGCGCTCGGGCATCATGGTGCGAGAGCTGCCGCACCAAGGAGGAGATCTCCGCCCACCACGCATGGATCTTCCTTTCGACCCCTGCCCATGGCGTAGAGGTGACGGTGTCCTTGATGCTCACGCTCTTGTAGCTCGGGGGCCTGCTGTGCCCGAGATGTCGTCCTCGCTCTTCCTCTGGGATGCCGATGCTCTCGCGCAGGCTGAGCTCGAGGGTGCTTGCGAAGTGGTCGTACTGTTGCCCCAGGTCCAGCATGTCCCGCTCCATCATCTTGCCGACGACAGTGTGCTGCAAGTGCTGGGGCAACTCGTCGTAGGCACGCAAGCTGACCCGCTCGGAGGTGGCCTGCCACAGCTCGTCAGGGATGACGTGCTGGATCTCCCTGTCGTAGTACAGCTGCGGCACTGGCTCCATGTCGTTCTCTTCCAGGTCGCATCCTGCCTCTGCCAACCTTTGCTGACGTCGACGCATGGCCTCCTGGCCTCCTCGCGCCGCTCGTCTGCAAGCGGCTCTGGACTTCGGCATTCTCTCAACTGCGACTGGTGGCTTTATGGCTGCTGGCCTGCGAAGTACTCTGCCCTTGAGCTTGAGATGCCGCCCTTTCAGCTTCAAGCGGATGCCGATGTGCGGCTTCCACGGCACGGTCCTGAGCAGCTCTAGCTGGTCAAAGTACGGCGCCAGGCCCTGCGAGATCAGCGCGAAGTCGATGCACCTGGCTTCGCCTCCTGCTGGGAAGCACGTGGGGGCGCCATCCTCCGCCGCAGCTACTTGAGCATTCAGCACCCTGGGCCAGATGCTGTTGTTGAGCTCCGTCGGCGTCATGTTGAAGTCCCCAAGCGCTGCCCATGGCCCTCCCCAGACGGCCATCTTCTCCCGCAGGTCGCTGAGGATGTCGACGTTCCTCTCTCCAAAGCCCGCCCCACGCTCGAGGTAGACGAAGGCCACTGCGAAGCGGACCTTGTGCAGGTTGGAGATCACCACCGTGACGTCGTTGCCGTCCTCGTGCAGGTAGTGCTCGTCGAAACCCGCGATCCTGTCCTGGATGTCCAAGGATCCTCGCGTGATGGCACACGTTCCTCCTCGAGTGCCTTCTCCTTCTCCTGGCCGTGCCTTGGTCCAGTAGCTGTGCATGCCATTCCTCCTGAGCGCCGCTCTTGCCCTGCTTATCTGCGCAGGCTGGCGGAGGTGGTGCTCCGCGATGCCAATGATGCCCCTGTCCTTGGCGTCGTTGATCTCCATGAGGTAGCCCTGTGCCTGGGGGCCCCAGGTCGTGATATTGAAGAAGTCGATGTGGCAAGGGCGGCGAGCCTTCTTCGCGCTCGCCTTGGGGCGGCTGCCCTGCTGAGTGGTCACCTTGCCCTTCTGCATCGACGACTGTCTCGGCGCGCCTGGCCTGCGAGACCTTCTCTCGCGCCTCCTGGATATGGGCCTCCACTCTGGCTCGGCGCTCCTCTGCTTTGTCATGTTCTGCTGCAGCTGCTTCTGGTTGGGCAGCTGCTGCGGCGCCGTTAGGCGCAGCCGCGGCAGCTGACCCTGCTGCCTCAGCGCCTGTGGTGGCACCTCGCTGAGGGGCTGGGCTGGCGGCGCAGACACGCTTGCCTGGTGGGGCTTCTGCTGCTTCTGGGTCTTGCTCTCCGCTCTTTGACTGGCGCTTGGTGCGGGCCTGCTCGAGCTGGCGCAGCTGCTCCTGGTGCCTGGCCGTCTCTTCCTCCAGAAGTCGCAGGTGCTTCGCCGTCTCCTCCTCGTGCTCCTTGACCGTCTGGGCCATGCGCTCGCCCTTGGCCTTTGCTGCTCGCCAGACCTCCTTGTCGGGCTCTGACCACTTGTGGAAGTCGTCAGGCTCATGCTCGAACTGCTCCAGGAGGGCTGCCAGAGTTGGCTTCTCGGCTGCAGGTTCAGCTGGTGCCTCTTGCTTGCCGACTGTGGCCTTGAGCTTGTCGAACTCATCTTCAGCTGCAATGGAGGCTTCCATAGCTTCACGAGGCTTGCGTTCACTCTCAGCCAAGTACTGCTGGGCACTCTCCACTTGCTCCCCTGCCGATCGTACCTTCTTCTGGAGTTTGTCCAAGCGTCGAGCTGCTGCCTCCACTGCCTTAAATCCAGCAACTGGTTGTTCTGCTGGTGGCTTGGCTGCGGCGAGCTCTGGCCAGAGGGCCTCGTAGTGCTGCCTGAGCGGGTCGTCCTTGCTGAGCTTGCTGTATACTGCTGCGGCGGCGGCCTTGAGATCGACGGTCTTGTCGTGAGGTGGTGGCTGGCGTTGGCCTCCTTGCCCTTTCCCACCTGCACCACCTCCTGGCTGCCAACCATCTGCCCAGCTGATCCTGGGCGAGGTTCCTCCTTGGGGCTGTGCTGCCAGCCACCCACCATCCTCGTCACGGAAAACATGTCCGTCGGGGACGAGGCAGGCGAGGTTCTTGCCGCAGATGCAGAGGTCGCCCTTGCTGGTGATATTCTTGCAGTAGCGCCATCTGCTGCACCCGTCACACACCACGTAGCTGCTGCGAGGAGGGCGACTGCCACTGCTGCTCCTCTTTCCACGGTGGCACCCTCTGGCGATTCGGGGTCCCCGACCAGGCGCTGCCCGCCCCGCGTCCGCCGCCGCCACTCCCCATGGCTGCAGCAGTGCCGCGCGCGCGCCCGACGCCCGTCTGGGAACTGTCCTCGGTCCAGAGGTCTCCCTTCGGCCTGAAGGCTGGACAGCCCCCCAGGTCGCCATCTTGAGCCAAAATGGCTACGGAGAGCAGGAGGAGGAGGAGAAGGAGGAGGACGAATGAGGAGTGGGAGGAGGAGGAGGAGGAGGAGCAGGAGCAGGAGCAGGAGCAGAAGAGGAGGAGGAGGAGGAGGAGGAGGAGGAGCAGGAGCAGGAGCAGGAGCAGGAGCAGGAGGCAGGAGGCAGAGGAGGACGAGGAGGAGGAGGCAGAGGAGGAGAGGAGGAGGAGGAGGAGGAGGAGGAGGAGGAGGAGGAGGAACAGGAGGAGGAGGAAGAGGAACAGGAGGAGGAGGAGGAGGAGCAAGAGCAGGAGAGGGAGGAGGAGGAGGAGCAGGAGCAGGAGCAGGAGGAGGAGCAGGAGAAGGGGAAGAAGGAGGAAAGGGAGGCAGAGGAGGAAGAGGAGTAGAAGGAGGAGGAGGAGGAACAGGAGGTGGAGGAGGAGGAGGAGGAGGAGGAGGAGGAGGAGAAGCAGAGGGACGCCGCCCGGGGCCGCGCGCCCCATACGGCGGCACGGGGGGCCGCCCGGCAGGTGAACCGCTACGCCGGCCAGTGGCAGGGCGGGAGCCGCTCGGGCTTCGGCGCGCCCAGCCCCCCTCGCGCCGTGAAACAATCACGACGGGAGGTGTTTCGCTATCTTCGGCTTCCGGGCCCTTACCGGGCCTCGGGACTGTCAAAACACGAGTTAGGATGAAAAGTTGGTCATGGGGAAGGGGTCCAGACCTCTGCGGGTCGACGTTGCGAAAAATCACGACGTGGGGTGTCTGGGAGTGGAGGTAGGCGGAGGGGATGGACGGGGGTCGGAGAAAAGAAAACGCCATAAACATAACGTTTTGGCGCTCCGCCCAGATTTCTTGGATCCGCGCTGGCCCCCCCCGGCGGCGCCTCCGGCGCCGCCCCTGACGCGCTCCGCGCGCCAGGCAGGGGGGTCTGGCGCAGATCCAAGAGATCCGCGCGGAGCGCCTAAAGTTTATGTGCTTTTATTGTGTGTTGCGGTCTTTCTTTTCTAGGGAGGGGTAGGAGGGCAAGGATCGGGAGAGGAAGGAGGCATTCGGAACACCCCTCTTGGCGACCAGAAGGGGCGCGGTTACGCTGGGACTAGGTGCCGGTGCCCGTAGATGTCAAGATTGCCACGGCTGTTTTCTCACGTGGCCGATTTCCCACCGCAGGCTGATCGTTGAAATAGGTATTGCCGCGTTGCTTCGACAGTCAAGGGGCCTTCCCTTTGCTCTCCTCTTTCGGGGGCTGGGCCAGCGCCACGCTGGCGTCTTGAAAGGCCATCGCTTCGTGTCTCTGCCCACTCGCGATGGCCTTCCATCGGCGACTACAAAAGGTGCGATTGCGTCGGGGTAAGGCTTGCAATCGGCGCCGTTGGAGCATGGAAGGCACGACTCTGTCCTATTCGGGCTCCTCGGGATGCGGCGAAGAACTCTATCAAGGATCCCGCCCGCCCCCAGCGGTGCCCCCCAGGGTGCCGGTTGCAAGCCACAGCCTGCAGACCACACCTTTCGGAATCGCCGACCCTCCCTCAGTCGAGGAAGAAAGAACTACACTACCATCCTCTACTACGAAACTCCCTCCCGTCAAGTGATCGTTTTCTTATTCATTGGTTTGCCGATCGACGCGGGCCATCGCCCCCTCTCCTCCCCCCCCCCCAATGGAGTAGATCTTGGCTGTTTTTGGCGCCTGTTTCGAGCAGGCACCCAGAGGACGCACTGCTGCAACCAGTCGCACTGAGCAGAGGTCCAGAGCCAAACCCCGCCCCTCCCCCCCTTTCGCCGTTGCCGAAACGCCAAATAAGAAAACGTTCACGAAGCTGAATCTCGAGATTTAGATTCCAGATTCCAGAAAGCTTTCGGCGCTCCGCGCGGGCTTCTAGGATCGGTACGGGGCCCCCTTGGCGGTGCCTCCAGCGCCGCTCCTGGCGCCTTCCGCGCGCCAAGGAGGGGATCCAGCGCGTTTCCAAGAAGTCAGTGTGGAGCTCAAACAGTTTATGTGTTTGCCGTTGTTTCTTCTATCCCTCAGGGGTCGAGGGGCAGCGTCTCTCCGGGCCATCGAATAGTGTCCGAGGATTCAGGTTGGGTCGGATGATCGCGCCGCATCGCCGATGCGACTCGATGTGGAGCCCGTTTTTTTTCCACGCCGACGTCGCTACTGCATCGTCGACATCGGCGATGCGCCTCGATCCTTCGACACCATCTCCTCGGACCTAACTGTGGGAGGCCTCTTAGTCTCAGACATTTACCTCCCGTAATCCGTTTTTGTCTGTCGAGGCGGTATTCGAGGGTGGACAGAACCCACAACAGTGAAACGTCGATTAGTGAATTGTCCGTTTTCGGTTCTCGAGATGGCGCCGTGGCCGTTATTTTCCAGGCTTGCGCCCGCCAGGTTTGGGCCTCAAGTCGTTTACGCTAAACCACGTTTTGCTAAAGGGGGGTCTGTCCATCCCCGAGGTACAGTCGGACCGAGGTATAAGATCGAGTGCGGTTCGGGGAGGATGCCCTTGTGTTCTTCGCGCTTGTTGGATGCTCCTGTGTATCCTGGGGAGGGTACCCTTGGGTGTTCTGTTTGTTTTGGCCGACGGAGGGTCTCATGTTCTTGAGGGGTGTTCTTCTGTCCTAGGTCCGACTGTATCTTTCTCGATGTCGGCCCCTGGGGCCCGCTTTCGGGCCCCGGGGCCATCCAACATGGATCCGGGACGAAGGACTGCCCCCCAGGAAGCGGTCATGAGGTCTGGGGCAACGTTAGGGGGGACTGGGGCAACGATAGGGGGGACTGGCCGCTTCGGCGCGTCCCCCGAAGATCCAGCGTAGTGAAAACATCAAGACGAGGCTTTTCGCAAATTTCGGCCCCTAGGGGCCCTCGCCGGGCCTCGAGCCCGGCAACAAAAAGAGTCAGGATGAAAAACCGGTCCTGGGAGATGGGTCCAGTCTTCCGGGGACCGCGCATTGAACAATTCATGGCATCGGATCTCTGGGTTTCTCAGGGGCAGCGTCAGGGGGGGGCTGGCTCGTCGGTTCTCGGCGCTTCTCTCGCCTCGGGATAAGTTCAGTTCCAGCAGCTGCGCCACGCTGAGAGCACTCCGGGGGGGGTTCCGGGTCGCACGGTCGCCAGAGAGCCGAGCTATAACCCACAAGCCAGGCGACGAGGATCCTTGGGCGGGACAGGCTCAATGGGGACGCATCGACCCTCGAGCGCTCATTCATCGCCGATGAAGGGCCCGTCAGCCCAGCCCGCCCAGGAGCGTCCAGATTCGATATCGAGAGCCTGCCGCCACTTTATCAGAGAAGTAAGTGTCGCCTCGTCGACGTCGATGTTTCCTTGCACCCGTGAGCCAGTCCCCCCCTGTCTTTCCCCCTCGGCTTCTGGCTGTCGCAGCGGTGTGGTCCAAGCCACGCATCGGCCAGAATCGGCCGCGGGCCAGCAGATTGTGCACCTGGGCAGTGGGAAGAGCAGTAGAGCGGTCGCGGAGGAGGAGGAGGAGGAGGAGGAGGAGGAGGAGGAGGCAGGAGGGGTCACGCTCAGAACAGCATCTAGTTCACGTGTGGGGCTGGCGGCCCAAATCTCGAAGAGCAAACAGCACAATGAGCCTAGTCTTATCTCGAAGAACAAGGAGCAGTGTAATCATAACTCGGCTCGGCGCTTGACCCCCCTCCCTGCAGTATGTTCGCGTCGTGCCGACGGTGCAGCGACCTGGCGCGGGCGTTCAAGGTTGAACGCGAAGAAAGACGCGATCTTTTAATATTGAACGATCCAGTGGTGTCAGAGACCATCGCGCAAGTCGTCACGACACGATCCTGCCGCATCTCGAAGAGCGAGAAGCGCAGCTAGCAGCAGTAACGTTCTGAGGTCCTCGTGCATTGCTCTGTCCGGCGCTGGCTGGCGGCGCCTCTGGCGCTGTTCCCGGAGCGCTCCAAGCGCCAGAGGTCTGGAGAGAGGACGGGTATCAATGACACGCCGCCGTCAGGGGCCCATCGGCGTGTTCCCCCTTCCTTTTCCGTCCGAAGACCTGGCGTTTCTTCAGCGGTGACGCGCGGATGGGTTCCCCCCCGGCGGCGAGCCATTGATGTTTCTTTTGCTCCCCCGATGCAGTGGAGACCTATGCCAAGAAGCACCCTGCTTGCCTCCAGGGTCCCCTTTGGTTCCTTGGGTTTCGATGTTTTTGCTATTGGAAGCGAAACGCTCCCAGACCAGAAGTCAATGGACGTCCTGGGGTTCCAGGGTTGGGTTTCTTGTGGATGGTTTCTCGTGGACTGGCCTCCTCTGCACCTCAGTAAGAGTTGTTTGGATTCCTCGCGCAGCACGTGTAAGGCAGAGAGGGTGACATCGGTCAAACCGAGGGTGGGGTTAGGCCAAGCAGCCACCCAACAAATGGCCAGTTTGGGGGGCCAATCGGGGCCTTCTTCGGGCCATCTGGGCGCCTTCTCAGGGCAAGTTTTGGTCAGGACCCTCCTCGGTCGGGCTGTCTCGGGGCCATTCTTGGGATCCTTGAACACACGTGTCTACCGTCCGCCTGAATCATTCGGGAACGCGTTGTAGGAGCGTGGGCAACGTCAATCGTGAAGTGCGGATGTGGCCCCGTGAGCAACTTGGCACCATAATGCGCTCGAGCATTTGGCTCCCGTGATTTGTGCAGGATAATGTTCGTACTGCCTGGTACATCTGCATCGTTCCCGATGCGCGCTCGCGCGCGTCAGAGGACTGAAGAGGAGGAGGAGGAGGAGGAGGAGGAGGAGGAGGAAAACAAAGAAAATACAGGAGCAGCAGGGCGGAGGGAAGAGGAGCCAGGGACTATTTGCTTGCTCTCTCCTCTCTGGAGTGCGGGTAGAGAGTTGGTGGAACCGCGCGAGACTGAGGTGAGACAGCACAGAACAGGAGGAAGAGGAGGCGACGGCGGCGGCGGACGATGGAATTGGTGCAAGGACTGGCTCAATATGCCTCTCTCGCGGGCGCTGGGCCCGCAAGGTTCTGTTGTTCCCATCGTACTTAAGGACCACATCCAGAAATAATTTTGAGCACCTGGACAATGATCGAAACAGTGTCGATCGAGTATCGCCTCCCAGTGCCCGACACGTGAACACCCCAGTTTCGGTACTTTCTCGGTGCTCGAAATTCTTTCTGGTTGTCAAGGCTAGAGTCGGCGGGATTCCCATAACCGAAAGGACAAGTCTGCGACGGCATTCTGCCTTCTAGGGGGGGTGTAACGTGCTACGTGCGGGTAGCCTCGCTCCCAGCGGGGCCGCACACTTGTTGCGAGAGAGAGCACGGAGATGCCTCCCGCAAGGGGGGAAAGGGAAGGGGGCGGCAAACATATCTCATCATAATCGCTCGCCCTCGTCGAAGGAGAACAGTGCTCAAAACATATATATATATATATATATATATATATACTTTTGGCGCTCCGCGTAGATTTCTTGGATCCGCGCTGGGCCCCCTGCCAGCGCCGCCCCTGGCGCGCTCCGCGCGCTGGGGAGGGAGGTCCAGTTCAGATCCGAGAAATCTGCGCGGACCGCCAAAAGTTGATGTTTATGCCGTTTTCTGTCCCTCTACATCAGCCATAAGCTACACAGCACCACCAAAACTTATAGCTGTCACTGAAAAAGGCGGGGGAGGCCTGAACACTCGCAGGGCTGGCGCGGGAAAGGAAGAGGGAGGAGGGATAGGAGTAGGAATGCAGACGAGCAGGAGGCGGAGGACCAGGCAGCGGAGCCAATCGCCCTCCGCAGGACGGGCGTCGTCAGTGAAAGGAGACACCGCCGGGCGATGCCGACCTTTGCTCCATCGTTGGGACCCCGTCTACTCGGGGTTTTGCCTGCGCCAGGCACATTCTACTACGCGAACGGCGCGAACTACGCCGGCGAGTGGAAGGAGCGCCCGCTGTCGCCGTCGCCGCCGTCCTCGCCCCCGCACCAGGATCGCAGAGGAGGAGGAGGTACGGATCCCGCTGCTCGTCCTCGAGAGCTCTCGTCGCCACGGCTGGATTCTCTCTGATGTCCTGTTCAGAGCACGCATTCTGGGAGAGGCCCGGGGAGACGTGGTATCGGTAGTTTTTTTGTTTCGGGGGTGGCCAAGAGGGAGGTGATGATGTAGGGAGGGTGGATAGCATGGCCGGGCCCACGATATTCTCCAGATCTCATGGCTTCTTGGCCTTGGCCCGCGCAGATGACAGATGCTGGGTGCCATGATCTGCGACCCCCCCTCCTGGATGCCCCCCGGCTTGCTCTCTGAGCGACGCAGACAAACGGATTGGTTTGGGCCGACATTCGCGCGTAAGTTACCCGCGTAAGGGCGCGCTTAAGCGCCCTCGTCTCCACTGTGGCGTGCCGCACCCGCGGCCCGCGTAAGCTGCCGCGTAAGGTCGCTATGTCTTCTCGCGTTTGGCCTCATTCCCCCCAGGGACTCCCGCCAAGATGGGCTCCTGGGCGGGGACCCTCCTGTTGACGAACGAACAACACGCACCCATACCCATAGTGGGGTCGGAGAGGGCTGTGGGTGCGTGCTGCCGAATGGGGGTCCCCGCTCGAACAGGAGCGCCCCCCAGGGTCCGACAACCCGCACCCAGACCCATAGCCAGTGCTCCCCCCAACGACCCCCTTATGGGTATGGATGTGTGTGTGTTGTTCCTTCGTCACCCTTCGTCATCCTGTGGCGGTCCTCCTGGCCAGTCTGACACGCCGGCCTCTCAACGCGCGGCGAGAAGGGGCCTTTATGGAGCGGAGGCGTCGTCGGGGGTCGTCGACAGCCCCCGTCATCTCGCCTTCTCTCTGGCGCGGCCCCCTTCTCCGCCCCAGACATCGTGTCGCTGGAGCAGGAATCCAGTCGAGAGCCTACGTAGTGGGATCCATAAGGGGCAAGGATTCCGGGTTATGTCGAACGAGGCAGCTCCATGTGAATTACCGTAGCATCCGCTCATCATGATAAAGAGCGCTGAGTCTCACGCGCAGATTCCCCTCCTTAGTCTGTCGCGATAATGTTGCGGGAGGTCCCCCGTCTGCTTGGGCCGGGCTCGGGTTCGCCTTTCTTCCCCTTCCCCGTCCTCCAGCCTTGTTCTCTTTCTTCCGGAGCACTCATTGCCAGGCCTAATCCGCCCCCCCCGTGAAGACCCTCACGGGCGATGCACAAGGGTTGTCCTGAACCCCCTCCCGGGAGTTTCCAGGACGTTAAGACCCCCCCCCTCCCTCGAGGAGGACATATTTACATACGCATATTTCTTGCATCTATGCTGGACACCCCGCCCCTGGCGCGCTCCGCGCGCCAGGAAGGGGGGTCCAACGCCGATCCGAGAAGTTCGCGCGGACCTCAGGAAGTGTACGTCATTTAGTTTGTTGCCAGCAGGCGATCGAGCGATGTTTTCGCACTGGTGCCAGGAGGGGTCCCCTGATACACGTCACCAAATTCAGGTCTTATGAGGCCTAGGTCCATCAATGGTCAATGGTCGCGCGGAGGAGGAGGAGGAGGAGGAGGAGGAGGAGGAGAAGGAGAAGGAGAAGGAGGAGTCGGAGGAGGAGGAGGAGGAGGAGGAGGAGGAGGAGGAGGAGGAGTCTGAGTCGGAGGAGGAGGAGGAGGTGGCCCAGCACTGGTTCCGGCCAGCACGGAGGGATGGGGCGTGTGGTCGGGGAGGTCTCTTGCTTTTTTTCGGCCTCCGGGGGCCTTCTTCGGGCACTGGGACAGTCAGAAGCGGATCTGGGGTGGCACCAGATGGACGCGGGGAGGGATCAGGGGACCGATTTTAGCGGATTTGGCTTCATCCATTCTTTTTGGCTGATGTTCTGGGGTCCCAGCCAGTTCAGACCCCTATGCCGCTACTCGAACTGATTGCTTCTCCTGTCTGATCCCTTCCAGATGGAGGGGGGGTTGGCGACAGCGGCCGACGAGGACGCGGGCGGGACCAGATGTGGAGGGGGGCGGGGGGAGCGCCACCGCACTTGGGCTCGATTGCCCCGCATTTCTTGACCTCATTGCCACCGCATCGTGACGGCAGGCCGCTCGGTCACCTCTGCCGCAGCTGCCACCCGCGGGGCCGTTCGCGGTGACCGAGGAGCCCCGCTAGGCGAAAGCAGCTTCAGCGCCTCGCGGGATGTGGGCAGGGGGCCCCGGCCGCCCAAGACAGGCCCCTCGATCCCTCGGCCCTCCTCGCGCGCGCCCCGCGGAGGACCACGTGAAGCACGGGCGAGGTCGGCACACTCTGGAGGACGGGCGCTCCTACGAGAGCGACTTCGTGGGCGACCGGCCGCTTGGGGGCCCGAGGCGCAGCCGCCGTTGCTGCCAGCCCGCCGCCGCGCTCCCATCGAGGCTGTCGCCGCCGCCCATCCGAGGCGGCGACGTCGGCGCCTACGTTTTCGCCGTTTCTGCTGGCGTTTCGAGGGGGCCACCCCCGTCCCAGACAGTCCCGCGCATTTGCAAATGCGCGAGAGGTGGTGGTTGTGGTTGTCTTAGTCGGTTCCAGGAGGGAGGGCCCTCGTTGGGGCACGGGGGCCGTCACAAAACGACCCTGGAGGAGCATGTGGCCCTGGGGACGGGGTCGGGACCTCCGGGACCAGGCACAGTGGAAGCCCATGCCAAGAAACACCTTGCTGGCCGGCAGGGTGCCTTGGTTTCGCCATGGAGAGCGTGACCTTCCCACACCAAGAGTCAATGGACGTCCTGGGGTGTCAGGGTTGTGTTTCTTGTGGAAGGTCTCCTGTGGTCGGGCCCCTACTGCATGGAAACAAAACCACGACGTCGCCTGTCTGGGTCGTCGTTCTTCTTTCACCCTTTCTCTGCTAATTCAAGCTGTGCGCGTCCCGCTGAGCTTCCAGCAGAAGAGGTTCGCTCTCGCCCCGCAGATCAAAACAAATCCGGGTCGTCGCCTTCGGCTGGGCGCGGCGTGGAGCGCTGGCCAGGGTGGGCCCTGGGCGGGTGTCCGTGTGCCAGCTCTGGGGCGGGTGCCCCGTGGAGTCGAGCCGAGGGTTCGGATGCTCCGACCTCCAGTCAAAAACCCTACTAAGGACGCGCGACTTTGCTCAGGGTACCCTTGCGTCCTTGCTCTTCCTTGCTCTTGCGTCCTTGAGGTTTTCGTCGTCCGCCGCCCCAAAAATCCCAACTCGGGCTTCCAAGGGTCTTGCGTCCTTACCGCGCGTCCTTGTTAGGGTTTTTGACTGTACTCGAGCCCTGACCACCAGCGAGAATCTCGAGCGCCAGGAAAGCACGTAGCAAAGTTCGAGGGTGTTTCGCGTTGTCGGGCCCCGGGAGGCGACACTTCGCCAGCGTGGCGGGCAGGCAAAGTTTCGATGTGTTGCCAGGTGCTCGAGATTGTGTTGGGGATGTGGTCCTTAAGTACGATGAGGGCAACATAAGCCGAGGTTCGGATGATTAGTCCACGAGCTGGGTCAGCCGCGGTGGCGCGAATCGGCGTCGAGCCCGGGGGTGAAGTGAGCTCAGAAGGCGAAGGCCTTCTCAGAAGGCGCGGAATGCCCCCGGCCTAATCACAAGTTTTCGAAGCCTTCCCCGAAGACACACTAAAACAACTTCTGGAGAGGCGCAAGTTCTTCGGAGAAGTCCCGCGGCCTGCTGAAAAGGCCTTCTCCTTCTCACTACCCCCCCTCGCTCGCCGCCGAGCAAAGATAGCAGCCCTCATGTATCATCCAGAACCGCCAGATGTCAGAGATCCCCGACTAACCCAGTCCGATTTGTCCTGGCCTTGTTTTCGTCTCAGACGAGGTCCAGTGGCATTCGTACCTGCGCTTGAGCTCAGCCAGAACGTCCCGGGTCGCTACCACCAACCACCAGCCCTGGGGGCGCGGAGCGCTGTTGGGGTGCCCCCCCCCACCCGCAGGCCTTGTCCTTAGCTGTGAGGGTCTCCAGGGGGGCATCACAAGGGGCGTCGCGCACAAGCGCTGTGGGTTGACACTCGATCTTGCCCACGGCATTCACGCGGCGACACGGCGTACTGTTGCACGTCTGATGCGAGTGTTGCACCTCTCAGGATGTGTTACCCTGTGAGTGCAATGCGCAGCTCGTGCGCTGTCTACCACGGTACGGCTTCAGCGTGCACAGCACGTGCGGTGCACTATCTGTGCACTGGTTTCTGAAGCAAGTGTCGCACGTGCGACGCGCCCCCCCCCCCCCCAAAGTGCCATCACAGCATATTGTGCCAGGGTCACCGAAGGCCTCCCAGTGGTTTCCCTCGTCCTCATCGGTGCCCATGTCACCCACGGGGCGCAGACCAGCGAAATGGTGACACGTGCAGCGCAATGTGAATGCACAGCAATGTTACGCAATGCGAGCCAATGCAAGGCAACACAAAGAAATGCAAAACAATGCAACGCAATGGCAGAAACCTAGAGGCAAAGCAAGGCAGTGCAAAGTGCAAATCGTTCACCGCAAAGCGATGCAAAGCAGTTGGAAGCAATGCGAAACAATGTGAAGCAATGCAATGTGAAGTGATACAGCGTGAAGCAAATCAACTCATTGTAATGCAATGCAACGCAGCGCAGAAGCACTGCAAAGCAACGCAAAGCAATGGCAAGCAACGAAAGCAATGTAATGCAATGCGAAGCAACGTAAGGCAACTCAAATCATTGCAATGAAAATCAACACAAGGCAATTCAATGCAAGGCAACACAAAGCAAAGTTACATAACGCAAAGTCGCGACGAGGCGGCGCCGTTGACAACATAGCCGCCAGACCGGCAGTCAGGTCCAGACAATGGGTGACGTAAGGGGTGGCGACGAGGCTGCGACGAGGCGGCGATGGCGACAACTTAGCACCAGACCGACAAGTACTTCCAGTGCCTCAGAACAGAAGTGGGACCCCCTAAGTGCAAGCAATGTTTGTGGAGTATCGTCCCTCCCTCCCTCCCCCCTGTCCTTTTCTGGCCACGGGCAGAGGGGGGAGGAAGGAATGCTTCTTAGGAGCAGGCTGCGGGCCTTGTCTGTAGATGTAGGGGCCGCGCCTTCAAAGAAACCGCCTCCTTCTAAGACGCCTTCCCCCCTCCCCCCGACCCCTCTCTGCTCGCCGCCAACTCTCTATCTCTCTCTCTCTCTCTTTCCGTGTCTCTCTCTCTCTCTCTCCCTCTTTCTCCTTTTTTCCGCTGCCGCTTCCTCTCCCTACGGAGCGCGATGCCGCACGCTTCCCCCCCCCCCCCCGCGCGCGCGGCGCGAGCGCGCGGCCGCCCAGGGAGCTCCTCGAGGGCGACTCCAGCGCCAAGGGGGCCGCCGAGGAGCGCCTGCCCCAGCGCGGGGCCGCGGCCCTGCGGGGGGGGTGGGGGGGGGAGGGGCCGCAGCCGGCGGGCAGCTGGCGGGCAGCTGGCGGTTGCCCGTGGGGGCTAAGAACACACGGGGGTCAGCCGCACCCGCCGGACCCGCCCGGGGTCGGGCGCGTGCCCCGGCCACGCGTGTGCGCCGCGGCGGCGTCAGGCGGCGCGAGGCGGCTGCCCTGCCAGGGGGCACAGCGGCCCCAGCCGACGGCGCGAGGGGGGTCAGCCAGGGCGCCAGGTGTCGCAGGGCCCCGCAGGGCCAGGGGTGCACTGACCCTGGCTTAAGTGCAGGATCCCGCAGGATCCTGCAAGGCCGGGCTTACCCAGGTTTGGATGGACCCGGGTCAGTAGATCCGGGAGACGGCCACGCGCAGAGAGGGCAAGGGGAGGGCGGAAGGTTTCTTGGACGCGCCCCTGCTTCTTGGAAGGCGCGGCTCTTGTCTGTAGATGTAAAGTTGGCGCTTTCCATGGAGCAGCCTTCTTCTCAGAAACCTTCCCTCCTCCCTCTACCCCCTTGTGCGACCCACCAAGGTTGGAATCGGCTGGCGGCTCTGAGATGGCCTAGCACGGGTTATTACCAGCATGAAAGGGGGGGAAGGTTCGTGGCTATGGGTTTGGTTACATGTTTTGCCCTCTTCGGCCTCGATGGGCCGTTTGCGGGCCCCAGAGCCGTTAACAATGGATGGGGTGAACCACTTCACCAGATGGATCCCAAGGTCCTGGAACGATTTTGAGCGGATTTATTTTCAGCGCCCCTTGTTAACCGATTTGTTCGGGGCCCAGGCAGCTCAGACCCCCCGGCCGCCTCCAAGCCGGGAGGAGCTAGACAGCATTCGTTGTTGGGCATCGTATGTACCAATTTTTCCATGCAAGTTCCGGGCGTCCAACTGCAGGGCATCTTCGGGGGGAGCGGGCAGAGGGACAAGATTAGGGCCAAGGGAGCCGGTGGCCTGGGGGGGGGCTGCGGGCCTCTCGCGCGCGCCTTGCCGTGGGTGACCTCTTTCCTTCTCCAGGCTCTCGTCGCCTCTTCCCTCCCCTGTGCCCAGTCTGCGCCTCCTCCATCGTCCTCCCTCCCACTCCTCCTCCCCTCTTCTCCCTTTTCCTCCTCTTGGCTTCTCTTCCTCCTCCCTTTCTCCACCCTCCTCTGTCTCCCTCCTCCTGGTCCGCTGCTGCTCGTGCTCCGCATCGCCCCGTCGCCCTCCCGCGCAGAATCCGGTCGGCAAGATCATCGAGGTGTTTGCACGTTTTTCTGCGCCAGCTGGCCGCCCCCCACAGTCCCTCCCTTCCTTCGGAATGCGCGGACAGGAGTGGAGGAGGGAGAAGCAGAGAGTTCGAGAAGGAGAGAGGAGTGAGGAGGAGGAGGAGGAGGAGGAGGAGGACTAGTGAGAGTGAGAAGGAGGAGGACTGTGAAGGGAGGAGGAGGGCAAGGAGGAGTGAGAGAGACTGAGAATGAGGACGAGGAAGAGGATGAGGATGATGATGTTGCTGCTGATAATGAAAATGCAGATGGTGATGAGTATGGTGATGGTAATCTCGATGCTGATGCTGTTTCTGCAACTGCTGCTGCTGATGATGATGACGAGGATTATGCTGATGAGGGTGATGGTGGTTGTGGTGACGATGCTGCTGATGATGATGATGATGATGAGGAGGAAACCGAGGATGAGGATGAGGACGAGGACCGCGTTGATGCCGATGATGCCGATGATGATGACGATGGTGGTGGTGGTTATGGTGATGATGCTGATGCTAATGATGCTGATGAGTATGATGATGATGAACATGATGAATATGATGCTGATGATGGTGATGCTGATGATGATTGTGGTTTTGTTGTTGATGATGGTGATGATGATGGACTTGATGGTGCTGATACGTAATGCTGATCCTGATGATGGTTGTGATGATGATGATGCTGCTGATGATGGTGATAGTGATGATGACGGTGACGGTGAGGGTGACGACGACGACGATGGCGATGACGATGGCGGTGATGGTGATGCTGCAGGTCTCGGTGATGAATATTATTGTGAATCCGAGGGTTTTGATGGTGATGGTGACGATACTGATTATTGTGTTGTTGATGATGAACATGATGATGCTTATGATGATGATGATGATGGTGGTGGCGATGATGATGATGATGATGATGATGATGATGATGATGATGATGATGATGATGATGATGATGATGATGAGGATAAGGATGAGGATGAGGATGAGGATGATGATGATGATGATGACGATGATGATGATGATGATGATGATGATGATGATGAGGATGCCGACTCCGACTATTCTGATGGCGGCGACGATGTTGGTGGTGATGCTGGAGGGCTTGGGGGAGTGGACGGAGGAGTAGAACGAGCTTGAGGGAGGAGGAGGAGGAAGAGGCGGAGAAGTGACGGACGACGACGACGACGACGACGACGACGACGACGACGACGACGACGACGACGACGACGATGATGATGATGATGATGATGATGATGATGATGATGATGATGATGATGATGATGATGATGATGATGATGGAGAAGGGGGGAGGAGTAGGAGGAGGAGGTGGAGGAGGTGGTGGAGGAGGACGGTGGGAGGGGGTCAGGAGGAATATGTGTAAAGGGACTCGGAGATGGACGAGGGCACATGGTGAGGTAGGGGTCGGGGAGGGGGTAGAACGATGAGGATTTGAAGGAAGAGGAACAGAAGTGGAATGAGGAGTAAATAGACGACGAGGACGACGACGAGGAGGAGGAGGAGAGGGTTATTGCGTCTCTTGGGGCGGACACGCAGGAAATGGACGACTCCGGTCGAGGCTGAGGGGCGCTTGCAAGGTGTGTCTCCCGACAGCGGGCCCACTGCATGTTGTGGATCGGCCTTTGTCCGCCGCTGTGCTTTGCCCAGGGGGATTGGTGAGGACGACGAGCATGGAGGTGGGGGGATGGGGGGGGCGGTAAAGGAAGGACAGGAAAGGGGGAAGGAAACGAGGAGGGTGTGGCGGAGGAGGAGGAGAAGCAGGAGGAGGAGGGGGGATGATGATGACGATGTTTAATGTTTTGCTGCGGCTGATGACGATGGTGATGATGGTGATGATGGTGATGATGATGATGACGATGATGATGATGATGATGATGATGGTGATGGTGATGGTGATGGTGATGATGATGCTGATGAGGATGAGGATGAGGATGAGGATGAGGATGAGGAAGAGGAAGAGGAAGAGGAGGAGGATAATGTGGATGAGACGGAGGAGGAGATGGCGTGAGCCGCAGGCACACTGGGCGCAGTTATCGCCACCCCTTCCACCGCAACATTGTCTTGCAAAGTTGCCAGGCACAGTGCGCCGCTAACGCTGCAGCAACATCCCCACCTTTCCTCCGCAGCCCCCTCCAGCCACGACCTGCATCTGGGAATGGGGAGTGGTTGCTCTTTTTTTTGGGAGGTATGGGTAACGATCGCCTGCGGCCCCCTGGCTTTGGCCTGGGAGGGTGAGGCACGCAGAGCCGCGTGCACGCTGGGCACAGTTATCGCCACCCCTCCCACCGCAACTGTTACTTGTACAGTTGCCTCGACTGTGATCACGAGTGCCCGTCGTCGCGTTGGCACATTCGGCGCCTTTTTCACCTTGGCTGAGGTGACACCGATGATCTCGGACATGGAGCACCGCCAACGCTTATGCAACACTCCCACCCTTAGTTTAGATTCCTCTGGTGCCAGTTATCATATTGAAGGGTGCAGTCGGTGACAAGCATAAACATTGTATTCAGTCAAAATCACACGATCGTGCCTTGGTTAGTGGTTCGCGCATGCGCTCTCGTCACCGAGTTTACGATGGACGCCGATAGCAAGACGGCTCACAAAAGGTGCCCGCAGCGGGAGTTCAACCAACTGTTACCTTAGGTTGGAACAGGGCGCCGTCAAGTCGCACGGATTCAGGCACACAGGGAATGATGAGGATAACTGTAATCTTAATGAGGTTTGTAATTTGAGAGGCTTGCCGTGGCAACCGGACCCAAACACGCTTGGGTTGGAGGTTGCAGCCTGGGCGATGTGACGACAGGCGGGACTCAGCCAAGGTCTAGCTGCAGAATTTCGGCCGTTAGTGCCTTGAGGAATCGAGGTGAAGACGTCGGAACGCATGGCCACGGGTCCCACGCAGGGATGTTCAACCAGCAAAGCCATGTCCACGTTGCGGAATGTCGCGAACGCCTTATCGAGAGGCGTAAGGACAGGTCGTCCCGAACACCCAGAACAAGTTAGCGGCTGAGGACGGAGCCATCAGTTCTCAGCAAGACAAGAATGAGGATAATATATTGATGGGCGATTTGTCATTCAAAGACGGGTGAGCTTTTCGACAACACTGTGAACCCAGAGCCGATATCATACGCATAGAGGCACAAGGGGCGAGACACCCCAAACATCGAAGCAATGAAACACGAACGCACGCAATCTATCAGGACACTTTGGCGAAATAGAGACATGGCCGACGATTGGAAAGACACAGACGAGGTTAAAGGAGATATACGAACACTTTGGACTGGATGGTCTGAGTTACGCTTTATCCCTGGATAAGATGACGGCGCGAGACCAGCCGGCGCCGCCCCGCCAGGTGAAGCGGCTCTGAAGGAAAAAGCGGAGGAACCCGAATATACTGAGAGGGCCACAGAAGTATGAAACGAAGAAGATGGGGATGAGCAGATTCTGGAGGGGGGCCTCGAGGTCGAGGTTAGGGGGGGGCTGGGCGACAGGAGCATGGATGAGCCCGGGCATGCAGACGATAATCAGGATAATATGATCGCGGATGAAGTGCGAACCAGGTAAAGTTCGAGGGGGTTTGATGCCGAAGTTGCGGGGCGGCCACTCAGCACCGATTCAATGCCATCTACCAGATCAATGAAATTAGGAGGGCAACGCGGTTATGCGGCGAAGGCCAGCACTATATGCAGTCGCACGCCTCCTGGGTCCCACTCACCAATCTGGCGTGCTGGCACGGCGGGGGATATGTGACTGGGGTCAGCGATACACGTAACAACAACGCGCGATGGAACCAGGATGCGACGCACTAAACAACATCGCGCCAATGAGCTGCGATGCGCGCAGACGAAGGCGATCATCAAGAGCAAAGCAGCCGCACGATCGATCGCAAGTTCAATGTGCGCAACCGCCGGCAGGCTGCAGGCGTCGAACACGAAGTGTCTGAGGGCGGAGAATATGTGGGAAACGCTTCATCACGGGGTCAAGCGCCTCGCGCTCGTGTTGGAACTGCGTTGAAATGAGGGAGGCAGCGGGTTGCGAGTTCAAATTGGGCACCCCGGTGGCCTCGAGCTGGGCCGCGTTGCCAGCGCAGAGAATGTCGGGGCGCGAAGTACGCGGGCGCGCGATGGCGACCCGCGCTGCCGCGACTCGCGGCCGGCGGAATGAGGAGAGGACACGCTCGTGGAGAAACCCGCGTGGCCCACGACAACCAGCCCCGACGTCGGACGGGCCCTCAGCTCGAGCAGTCCAGGTGCGCATCGACACATCGAGAGAATATCAGAGGCATATCAGGGCCGATTCTGTCGAGCCAGTCTTGCGCGCATAGTGAACTGGGTGACGGCCGGCGATCGATTGGGGCGCCCCATGAGAACTTGTGGCCCCGAGGTCAGCGGGGGGGAACCAGACGGAGGAGCGGGTGTCGACGAGGCGCGCTTCCTTCCCCGGCATCGCGCGCCTGGCTGGCGTCTGCAGTGGTCCCCGATGCTAGTCGACGGCAGCCCCTGCTTCTAGTTGCAAGTATGCAAAAGCACAGGCGCGGGGTGGCGCGCCCGGCCCGCGTTTGATGGCTCGGGGGGCGGGGCGGAGTAACGCGTGAAGCGCGGGGTCTTCGAGGCAGCGTGGCAGCGGGAATGCCGGGCGCTCGCTGGCAAGGCCCCCGTCGGCAGGAGATGGATCGACGTCGAAGAGGGGGTTGGGCCAGCCCCGAGAACCCCCGCCCGCGCTCGCGGCTCTGCAAGTTAAGCACGCCTCCGAGGAGAAGAACAGCCCTGCGCCCACTTCCCCATTGGAAGCCCACTGCTTTCTCGTTTGAAGGCCAAACACTGTTATCATTTATTGGTGTTGCCGCAGAGATAAGGCAGACTAGTTTGGGGAATCAGAACGGGCTGAAGTTGGCGTTCGCACGCGTTGGGCGGGCATGCTGCCGCGCCAAGGCCACGGTGCAAAACCGCGCCCGGCTGCCCCGGGGAGATCGCGAAGCAGGCGCGCGCGGGAAACAGTTGGGGTCGATGCGCGGCATTCGGGGTGGGCCCAGCACGCGGGCAGCTTGTCGCATGGAGCTTGCGCGCGACATTGAGTGGGACAATGGGAAACAACGCCATGCGCGTTTGAACGTAAGTCAAGGCGGGTCTCGCGGACACCGCGGGGGGGCGTCTTGATTTCACTTGGTAACGACATCGGCCGGGACCTGGGTCGACGGAGAAACTCAATCGCATTTTGGAGTTCAAATTCGAGGTGGACTAGGGCCAGCACCGCAAGACCTGAATTCAATCAGCATTCTAAACCGAACTGTGGAATGGAATCGGGATGGGTTGTGGCACGAGGCGGATAGGCGGCATGCCGAGCTACTTGTTAGAGAGTTAAGCCTGGGTCCGTTAAAGGTGAAATGTGCGATGCCCTGCGAGAAACAGCCGTGTGAAGAAGCTGTGGAGCCCCTACTCAGCCATGACGATAAGAGATACCATGCTTTGGTGGACCGGGCCAACTATCTTGCACGGGACCATTCGGACATGCAGCTTTCAGCTAAGGTGCTTGTGCGCCAGATGTCAGCTCCGCCCCGAGGGGCATGGGCGAACCTCGTTGAGTTTGGCATGTATCTCACGAGCCACCACTGGTGCTGATGTCGGTACTTGTGAGAGGAGCGCTTGCAGTGGTTCAAAGTGTGGACCGACGCCGACTATGCCCGATGTAAGGGGGCTTGTGATCAACACGTGGAGGAACAGTTATGTGGGGGCTGAATGTGGTAAAGTCGTGGGATGTGACCCCATGTGTAGTGGCATGACCATCCAGAGGAGCAAAGTATGACATGATGGAAACGTTTTGGATCATGACCCCCAGGCCTACCAGCAGTTCCAAAGACTTCGATGTCCATTACAGCGTAATGTTAAAGAGCGGGCATAATGTCGACATTGCGAATGCCAGCCAGCGAGGACATGAAACATCAAAGTCGTCAAGTATTGTCAATGTTTGTTACTTATCAGACAAGGTACGGCGAGGGTGCATTTTCAGTGATCTAAGTAGGAAACCATGCGAATATTGCATACGTTTCAACCATTATGTTCAGCGGGAGGATCAGTTATGCACGTGCAAGGTACCATGTGAGCGGAAGACACGAGCTGGCGCCCGCTACGGCGTGCTTTTTTTCATCTGTATCCGAGTGATCATTTCATTCCGCTTCGCTGGGGACTTGAGCTCACGATCCGCTGAGATCCAGGTGCTCGCCTGGGCGACGTTCAACCTTAGGGTACAGAGGATGTGCTTTTTGATGCGTGACTTGGTGCCCTGCGACGTTTAAGTGAAAAAAGGGCACGCCTTCGCCCAAACCATAGTCGCCGGTTGCTGGCACCAGGTTTGTTTCAACTCATTTGTTTGTGTAACTCGGCCTCTGCGCGCCGCTCCCCTGCCTCTGCGCGCCGCTCCCCTGCCTCTGCGCGCCGCTCCCCTGCCAGGCTCGCTGTTCTTTCACTGGGCACATTCCGTCCACGTCGCTTCAGCTTGCGTAGTTACCTCGGGCGTGCTTTGCGGCCTGCTCCGGCCGAGGGGGGCGTTTTTTTCTATGTAGGCGTGAACGACAATGTTCGCTCGCGCAGTTGGCTCAAGTGCCATTTTGCCTTGGTTGCCACGGGGACGAGGAGCAGGGGGAGGAGGAGGACGAAGGAGTCGATGTAGGGCGGACGGAGGAGGATGGAGATAGTCACGAGGGTGCGAGGTGCCCGACCTCTTCCCGCTGGCGTTGCCCTCGGACCAGAGCGGTTTCCCCGCCACGGTGGGCACCGGCTACCAGGCGGCGCGGGGCCTTTGGGGGTTTTCTCTCTGGTTGGCTCCCCACCCCTCCTCCTCTCTTGCATCAGGATCAGAGAAGCCATTGGTTGGCTCTCCAGCGGCATCGATACCGTTATCCTTGCCTTTGGGGGCCTCTTGGGGTTCGCCTCGAAATTTTGGTCGGAAAGCACCCAGGGAGAGGTCCGGGGAGTAGCGGTATCGGTATTTTGTTGCGCCCTCGTCGGAGGGGGACATTTGCGTATGAACACCCACCCTGGAGGAAGATCGTTCTGTTCAGGTTGTTTTCTTTTTGACGAAGAAACACGTCATGAACTTCAACTTTCTGATGTCCTCGTGGATTTCCTGGATCGGCGCTGCCCCTCCCTGGCGACGCCCCTGGTGCCGCCAGCGCCGGCCCAATGGCATCCGCGCCGACCCTGAGCCAGGCGCCGCTGTCCATCCCGAGGCCCTGGAAGGAGAGCGCCAGCGCCTAGCCCACCTCGTTGCTGCTTCGCGTGCTGCCGTCAAGCGCTCGGCAGAAATGTGGCGTGGTCTGGTATCGAGCTGTGCCCGACGAGATCGTCTCGACCCCGCCACACGGGGTCCAGCCTGGGTCCCCACCGGTTCCCCACGAGCAGGGCCTCGTCGGGAGACCACGTCCTTTTTGCAGTGCCCGCTCTGCTTGGCGAGTCTCGCGATCGGTGGACAAGCCATCAGTCGCGGGCGGTGCTTCTGGCAGCTCGCGTCCAGCCCAGAGCCTTCTTGCGGGGTCTGGGCCACCGCTATTTGGTTACAGATTGCAGCGGTGATTCGATTGTGTGGGTGTGCCAGCGATCTGAGCGTTTCACTCCTGGTGCGTATCTTGCAAAGACTTCAACCGCATGCAAGGCCCTCGCTGAACCTCACAATGGCGGGAGTTGGAGGTTACTCGGCACAGGACTCCACCGCGAGAAGGCTGTGGTCGCAGTGGACCAGTCAGCTTTTCGCTTACAGTCAACCCGCATAGTAAGGATGAGCAACTTTCCAAGGCCACTCTTGCATCCTTGCCCCTTCGGCCCTTCTTTGGCCGCGCCCCGCTCGCAAAGTGTCGACATGGCCCTCCAAGGCCCGTGCGTCCTTATCGTGCGTCCTTATTAAATGGGTTGACCGTATCGCCCTGGACGTTGATGTCATCAATAAAATCCCCCTCTCCTTCCCCTCATCCTCAGCGCCCTCCCCACCCTTCTCCCCGTTGTCCCCTGTCCCTCCCTTCCCTCTCCATTCACCCCTCCCTCCCTTCCATGTGCCACCTCCAGCCGACCCGTCGGCCAGTAGTCGCTTGCCTGTGATTCGGGCTGAGACCAAGGAGGCGCTGCAGGAAAGGCTCCAGAGGAAGAGTGAGAAGGCTGGGGGAAGAGGATGATGATAGACGCTTCTCGCGACAGAAGAATGGAGGAAATGGGAAGTGGTGGACAGCACGGAGGAGGAGGAGGAGGAGGAGGAGGAGGAGGAGGACGACGACCGTAGACATTTTGTCTCAAGGGAATTCGCCGCATATACTGTAACTAAACGACCTGTCCAATCTTCCCATGTTCCGCGGCGTGGAACTCGCTGCATTTATTGTAACTAAACGACCTGTCCATTCTTCCCATGTTCCGCGGCGTTGGCATTTACCAGTGTATTCGCCATGCGTCACACAGTGGTCGTCAATGCTATTTCTGGTCGGCTGTGTACGGTCAAGGAGGAGGAGGAGGAGGAGGAGGAGGAGGAGAAGACGTCCTTGAGGCCGTGCTGGGACGGGGGTTCTCGGGGAGTAGAGGGACAGTCTAACCTAACGCCTCGCAGAGGACGGCTGGAGGTGGGTTCGCCATAAGGCGTAGTTCACGTACCTCCCACGACCCTTTTGCACCGTGGCCGTGTGGCCACTCGAGAGGCCAGGTCCCCAGAGCCCGTATGAAGCCCTCTGGATACACCAAAGGCCTCAGGCACCCAAAACACCCTGAAGCTCGAAACTCGAGAAGGTCTCTGGACATGTCTGGAGGTCTCCAAAGGTGCCTGGCGGCATCAGGAAGCCTTCGGAGCTTCTTCCAGGAGCAAGGTACGTAAGACAACTTCCTCTGATGATCAGAAATCAGATCGAGTTGGCAGCTTCTGAGTTTTAGGCACTCCTTACTGTCGTTCGGTGATGTGTGCGTGCTCGGGTGCGTGGGCGTGGGCGTGCACGTGTACGTGTGCGTGTGTGCACGCATGCGCAGGCGTGAGTGCGTGTGTGTGTGTGTGTGTGTGCGTGTACGTGCGTGTGTGCGTGCGTGCGTGCGTGCTTGTGTGTGTGCGCGTGTGTTTGCGCGCGTGTGTGTGTGTGTGTGTGTGTGTGTGTGTGTGTGTGTGTGTGTGCGTGTGCGTGTGCGTGTGCGTGTGCGTGTGTGTGTATGTGTGTGTGGGTGTTGGAGGGGATTGTGTGTACGTTTGCGTGTGCGTGTGCGTGTGCGTGCGCGTGCGCGTGCGCGTGTGTGTGTGTGTGTGTTTGTGTGTGTTGTGTGTAGGTGTGTGAATGTGTGTGTGCGTGCGTCTGAGTGTCTGTGAGTGCCTGTGTCTGTGTCTGTGTCTGTTTGTGTGCCGTTGCCTGTGTCTGCGCCTCTGTCTGTTTCTCTATGCCTTTGTGTCTCGGTGTCTCTGTGTCGCTGTGGCTCTGTGTCTCTGTGTCCCTGTGGCTCTGTGTCTCTTTATCTCTGTGTTTCTGTGCCTCTGTGCCTCTGTGTCGTTGTGTCTCTGTGTCTCTGTGTTTTTTTTGTCGTTGTGTCTCTGTGCCTCTGTGCCTCTGTGCCTCTGTGCCTCTATGCCTCTGCGTCGCTGTGTCTCTGTGTCTCTGTGTCTCTGTGTCTCTATGTCTCTATGTCTCCGTGTCTCTGTGTCTTTTTTGTCTCTGTGTCTTTGTGTCTCTGTGTCGCTGTGTGTCTGTGTCTCTGTGTCTCTGTGTCTCTGTGTGTCTGTGTCTCTGTGTGTCTCTGTGTCTCTGTGTCTCTGTGTGTCTGTGTGTCTGTGTTTCTATGCGCCTGTGTGTCTGTGTGCCTGTGTGTCTGTGTCTCTGTGTCTCTGTGTCTGTTTGTGTGTATGTGCGTGCGTGCTCTCTGAGGCCGGCGCGCGCGTGGCCCGGGCCCATGTACTTGATTTTCTCCGCCTTGGCGTTGCGCGCGAGGCCGCGACCGCCAAAAAGTATGTGCGTGCGTGCGTGCGTGCGTGCGTGTGTGCGTGTGTGTTCGTATGTGTGTCGGGGGAGGGGTCGGGGGGGGGGGGTGTTGCTTGTTCGTGGGCCTCCTGGCCCCCACCACGGCCCTTCGCGTGATTTAAGCGTGGTCTTGTCAAACGTCCACGTTTGCAGATGAGTATGAGTAGTCAGACCAACACTCGGGCAACCATTATTGCATCTGTAAGAGCGCCAAATGCGAATCTGGAGGCGTCGCCAGGTTGTCGAGACCACTGTGCCAAGCGACGACTGGGGAAGCACGAGTGACTGATTTCTGAACGCCGACCCCCAGCAGGAGTAAGAGCTGCCGGCGCTCGTGTCGGCGGATTGTGTGGCCTTCGGCCCAATCCGCCACCGTGCCTGGGCTGTGGTTCCGAAGCCTCTTTAGGTTCATCTGATGGTCTCTTGGGATGAGAGGACGAGGAGGATAATGAGGAGGAGGAGGAGGATGAGGAGGAGGCTGCTGCGGAGGGGGGACAGGAACAGGAGCAGGAGCAGGGGGAGGAGGAGCATAAGAAAAGCCAAGTCACCAGCGGGGGCGCGACGATGATCGCGCCTCGCGCGCCGCAGTGTGGACTGGAGACGTCCTTTGCCAGGGGGTGGCGCGGGGGCACGAAGACGACCCTCGTCTCGCGCTTGCGGCGTGCGGGGCGACGTTGGGCGTCTCGGCCTGCGGCGTGCGGCGCGAAGCTGGGCGTCCTGGGGCCTCTTGGAGGGCTCTAGTGGCCCGGCGCCTCTCGGCCCTCTTGGAAGCCTTTTGGGGGCACCTCGGGGGCATCTGCGGGGCTCGTGCGCTCTTCGGGGGGGTGGGGGGCAAGGGTTCGGAATGTCAGCTCGCATTTCCGTGCCCACCGAACCACCCCAACCCAACCCGATGGCCCCGATTTGCCCTCCATGTCGGGGAACATTGAAAAACACATATGAAGCCCGTACCCCCCCAACCCGAAATTCGAGGAGGCCCCAAGTGGCCCCCAAGAGAGCCCAAGAGGCTCCCAAGTTGCCCCCAAGCGGCCTCAAGCAGCATCCAGGAGGCCAGAAAGAGGCCCCCAAGAGCCCAGCGGTCCAGGCGGGGGCCGAACGAACATTTCCAGCCCTGGGCTCCCGGAAGCCCAACAGGAAGCTCTAGGAGTTCGACCATCCAGCCTAGCTAGAACCTGAGCGCGCACGAAGCGCGCGCGATGGTTCTAGTGCATACGCACACATATATATATATATATATATATATATATGTGTATGTATAGATGTATGTATATATATATATATCTATATATTCGCAGACACGGCGTGTGGCCAGTGAGTACGCTGGGCGTTCGTAGACATCGATCTTGGTCGCTGTATAACGGGAGCGGCTCACATACAACAAGTGAGACGGATGAGAAGTCAGATTGTTAGGCACGCAGCCGTATCAATACGTGGTGAGATCGATATATACAGGTATGTATGTTTCTTTGCGCATGCAAATGTATGTCAAAGCATATGAGCGTGCGAATGTACAAGGAATTAGCTATATATGAATAACGTTTTGTGTATGCGTAAGTTTATATGTATGTTGGCAACGCTGGGTGGTGGAACGGGTATGTTGTTATATACATTCCACCAGAGAAAAACCCCAATCAATGGATGGTTTTCGCTGAGGAGATCGACCGAGAACCCGGGAGCCCGGGAACCCAAACCCACCGAAATCAGCCCGGAACCAATAACCGGGAACCCGGGAACCCGGACACGGGTCCCCGGGAACCTATCTTGCTACCAAAATCTGCGGGAAATGTTCAGAACATCTTTCAATTTCCGCTAGGACCCATTCAGTGCAAGCATTGATTCGGGAATATACTTATACATAATCCGTGAGTGCTTCAAACCTTGCCGTTGGCCCCCCTCTCTCGGAGAATGGGGTATGCAAACCAGGCGAGCATGCCAAAATCCATCAAACAGCTGAGGACACTCGCAGATGTTGGCCTCTTGGGCCCATCTTGGGGGTGCTCTTCGAGCGCTTTGGGGGGCCTCTTGGAAGCCTCTTAGGCCGTCTCGGGGCCATCTTGGGCGCCTTGGAGCACTTCTCGGGTCGTCTCAGCTGCCTCTTGTACCCTCTTAGTGGCCTTTTATGAAGGATTGCATCTTCGACAGCCCGAATACTGCGTACCGCACGAGGGTCTACGACTCCGGGGCGCGAAGGCGTAGTTCACGCAGGATCGTGGCTTCGGGGACGCAACAAGTGAGCTATTTACAAGAGAGTATTGCCTCGGAGGCGCGAATATTGCGTAATGAACAAAGATGTGTGGCCTCGGGAGCGCGAACACTGCGTAATTTGCAAGGGTGTATGGCCTTTGAGGCGGGAGTCGTGCGTACTTGGTAAGGGGGTATGGCGTCGGGGGCGCGAGTCTCAAGTATCGTTACGCCCCCCTGGACCCCCCAGAAATTTTGAGAACACCCCCAGGTGGTGGTATCCAGGGCCCACTTCGGCTCCCCCCCTTGCGCGGACTCCAACCTTCAAGAATTCACAGTAGGAAGCAGAAAGCAGGACTATGAGATTGGAGACTGGAAACTGGAACTGGCGCAAGGAGCAGCAAGCCTAACCCGCAGAGCCTGGTGGCCCCACAAGGGGGCCGGCGGATATGCGAATTTCTGTCTCCCCCCTCTCTCTCTCATCCCTCTCATCATGGCCCCCATGTCTCCTCCCCTTTTCCCGTCGCTGCCTGTCCCCAGGCCGCTCGCGCAGTTTTTGCTGATCCTCCCCCCCCTCCCACCCCGCAGGATCCCGTCAAGGTCCTGAGAGAGGCGGCCCGCCGCCGAGGGCTCGCACGGGGAGCGTCCTCGGCGAAGAGAGAAGGACGCGGAGCAGCAAGAGAGGAGGAGGAGGAGGAGGAGGAGGCGGAGGAGGTGGAAGAGGAGGAGGCGGAGGCGGGGAAGGAGGAGGGGGAGGAGGAGGGAGGCGGAGGGAGGAGGAGGAGGAGGAGGAGGGGCAGGAGGGGGGAGGAGGAGGGAGGAGGAGGGAGGAGGAGAGGAGGAGGAGGAGAGGAGGAGGAGGAGGAGGAGGAGGAGGAGGAGAGGGAGGAGGAGGCAGGAGGAGGAGAAGGAGGAGGAGAAGGAGGAGGATGAGGAGGCTAAAGGTCTCTTCATCCCCTCGGACCCATGTGCCGGGATCATCCAGCAGCACGTTTGCTTGCTGGGTGGTGCCGCGGCGGCCTCTCAGGTGCTCCACCTCCCCTTCGCACGTGTTTCTTGACTTCAGTCGGGCACGTCCCTCTACAGGAGGACTATTCAGAACCAGTCAAACAATACATCTGGAGACGACTGTTTTATTTCTATGCTGAATATTTTGCATTGTTCGAGTGTGTGTCATGTCTACTTCCCAAATCCGCCTGTAGGAGGACATGCCCGACCTTATTCTTGATGCTTCACGCGGTCACTCCGGATGCATCCCATCAGCATGGACAGCAGCACTCGGCGGCGCGCAGAGAGGAGTTGAGCCTGCCAGGGGGGGCCTGTGAATCATGTAAGACACGATCGGCGCTCAGAGAGTCTGTCTCGTCTTTGCTATGTTTGCCTGTCTTGCATAGCGTTATGTATACAGCCATTTTGGACCATGCTACGGTCGTAACTAGGGGACCGTGTGTGTGCACAGTGCATCTCCGTGACCGGTGAGCGAGAGAACGCTGACATCACATATGGTAGCGGAGCAGTGGCTCCGAGAGCTGCGGCTTGGCACGCCATGGCAGGGACCTCCGGAGCCTCCGCGCTGCGCGCTGACATGGCCATCCCGACGTGCAACGGGAAGGCCGAGACGCTGGAGGACTACGCCATTGCGGTGGAGCTGTTGACGCTGGGCTCATCAAGGGAGGTGAGGCCACTGCTGGGTCCCAGGCTGGTGGCCGCGCTGCCGCAGGGGTCCGCCCAGCAGCGCTTCGCCCCTCGACTGCCGCGAGAGGCTGGCTTCGACTCGGACGGAGCCCCGCTGAAGCCGAAGACAATCGCCATGGACGGCCCCAACAACATGATCGAGTCGGCTTTCAGGAGGGAGCTGGGGACGCAGGTGGTGTCCGACGCCGGCGAGAAGACTGACGCGTGTTGCTGTGCAGGGCTGGGACGGAGTGCGCTGACCCGGCGACTTGGACAAAGCATGGCACAGTGGATCGAGACCGACGAGGGAGCCTACGACCAGCTACCGCGGGCGTGCAAGCTGATGGTGCTGGACGTGGGAAACATTTTGCCCAGGTCCGTGCGTGGAGTCCTCTTCCGGTGCAACGGTAATCTAGATCCCTCGGAAAAGCTGTCGTGAGCAGCAGCATCAAGGGAAACTCGAAGCTCGAGAATGTGAGGAGACGCCTAAGCGATGCGTGGGCTGAGAACGACTTGGCCGTGCGGGACAAAAAGGCGAAGCAGATCAACCACCGCACGGCTCCCTACACCGATGAGGTCCACTGGCAGACTTACGACGAGCAGGGGACCGACCACGAGCTGCCGCCGGACGAATACGTTCAGGCGGACGAGGAGGACGTCGCGGCGCTGGAAGAGCACGAGGCCCTGGCCGCGCAGGAGACGGACGCAGCGACCCGCACTTGGGAGCAGGCCCGGAAACTGCTCGGTCTCCAGGGCCCGTGGCCATTACCCGGTCGTGGGCCTGGCCGCGCTGCCGCCGACCCGGAAAGGCACGGGCAAGGGCGCTCGGGGGGGCCCAAGGACCGAGGCCGAGGCGACAAGGGTGCGCCGTCTTCCCCGAGTGCCCCAACAGGCCAGGCTCGCGATCGACAGGGACGACTCCAGCAGGGCCGCGGCGCCGCTACGAAGTGCCTCCTTTGCCGGCAGCTGGGACAGAGCAGTGGACTGTCCTTCCAGATACCAGACTGGAGGCAACTGCAACGGGAACATGAACATCGGTTACGAGGAGACGGACGACGAGATTGTGGACGAGGCCACCGTCTCTTGCGTATCCCACTGGGAGAGCGAAGACAAATGGGTCCTGGCCATCTCGCCAAACATCGCGCTGGGCCTCAGCTTCTTCGCCGAGGTTGACCTCCGAGGCTTCGCGATCGTGGGCAGTGGAGCCACCAAGTCCATGAGGGGGCTGGCCTTCTTCGAGTTTGCTCGGGGACACATATACGACGCGCGCGGCCAGGGCCTGGCGGAAATGAACACGAAGGAGCGGACTTGCTTCACCTGCGCCAACAACGCGACGGGCATGAGCGTCGGGAGATGGGGGCGTTCCCCACCCGTTGGGACTGCGAGTCCAAGGGGGCAAGCTTTGGTTCTCGCTTGCGCCCTCCGAGAGCCCGATGCTGCTGGGCCTGGACTACCTGACGGAGGCGGACGCGAACGTGGCGCACCGCGGTTACCTGGAGCATCCGGACGGTCACCGCGAGAGGCTCGAGCCCGTGCGCTCTGGCCACGGGGGTCTGCCGCTCCTCTAGGGGCAGCGACTGCACCCGGGGAGCGCGGCTCCAGGCGATGGCGCCAACATCCCCGAGGGGGCAGGAACTCCGCCATCGGCCTCTGCCATCGTCCTTGCTGCCACGGACACCCCGACCGTTGGCGCATCAGTCTCATCGCCACCATCATCTCCACCACCGACCTTAGGAGCGAGGGCGTCTCATCCGATGCCGACTCAAGCGAGTGCTCCCCCGAGTACGCGGACGCAGATACCGAGATCGACTTCGACGCGAGCGGGCGCTATGCCGAGTCATGCGGCAGTGCGATGGAAGACCCTACCGAGTCATGCGGCTCTGCGATCAAAACTACGTCGGCCGACGCTGTTATCTCGAAAATTGCGCCCATCTCCGCGCCCGCTGCCGCGCGGGCTCGAGCGCGGGGCGGTTCTCCCGAGCATTCCATGTCCACATGCCGAAGGGCCAGGCAACCAGCGAGGAGAGCGACTCGGAATTGGAGAAGCTGGGCGAGCACCCGCCCGCAGAGGAGGCGCCCTCCTCCGCGGCCGGACCTGTCTGCTCACAGGCACCTGTCTCGTTGCGCCCTGGGTCCACCAGGCCGACGCCGAGCGCGGGGTCGCGGCCGACGGTGGAGGCGGGCCCTGCGTCGGAGGAGTTCGACCTATCGCCCAAGGAGCTGCGCTGCGACGCGCTGGAGCAGGCAAGCGACCTCCTGGCGGACGCGGACCCCCAGGCGAACTCCGAGCAGGTGGCCCACGTCTGCAAGGAGATGGCCCGGTCTGCAGCGCACGAGGAGGCGGCGCTCCGGTCGCGGCTCGGCAGCTGCAAGGGGCGGTGGGCAGAGCTTGCAGAGCAGGAGCGCGCGCGCCCTCACATCGACCGAGCGGCCGAGCACCTGGAGAACGCGGCCCCCCCAGGAGACGCGACCGGCGCCGCGGGCGCGGAGCAGTCGCCGCCGCTGCGCCGAGGGGGCCAGCGAGCCCTCGCAGGCGGGGCCCAGAAGGGGGCCTCTTCAGGGCACGAGGGGGCCCGGCCACCACTGGCATCGCATGGTGGCCCTCGCTCGGGACAGGAAGAAGTGGAGTTTTCGTGGCCACATCCTCAACTGCAGCAGGAAAGATCTCCCGAAGTCCGTGGATGGACCAGCGAGAGGGCTGGGGAAGCACCTGGGTCGGTGGGGCTGGCGAATGACCCGCCCCTTCTGGCGAAGGCTCAGAGCGTCGCCGAGACGCGCGCGGTGGTCACCCAGCTGCAGGGCTACCAGGCGGAGTCGAATGATAACACACTGGCAGTACTGAGACCCTCGCAGCTGGACCTACTCGAGATGGGATGCCAGGAGGACCTCGCCCCTGGGTCAGGCGATGGAGAAAGAGGGCGGCACCGTCTACCGCGTGGGCTGCGGGACTAAGCATGATTTTTAGAAAGCCAGCGCGATGGCGAAGGCCGAGGTACTCATTGAGGCCAGGAGGCCTCGGCGAGCCCATCTTCCCGCCCCGCGCGCCGCGCTCGTTCTTTCAGGCCCTGGACCAGAAGAGTGACCAGCAGATCTCGAGCCCGAAGAAGAGTATTGCCTGTGGTTCCACAGTCATGGACAACGTGATCGAGGTCGGCCTACACGCGCTGCGTCAGGGTTGCGAGCTCAGTTTCGAGCAGCCCGCGAACGCCGCCAGCTGGGAGGGCCGCCCAGTCACTGATGAACCTCCGGAAGCAGCTGCACGAGGTCGCCACGGCAGGATGCGCCTGGGGCGCGCGGGACAGCGAGACGGGCCAGGCCGCGCACAAGAACTGGAGGTTCTGGGTGTCCAACCAGCGCGCAGCAGAGGTCTTGGAACGGAAGTGCCCTCGAGAACTCGCGCGCCGCCAGCTGGAGGGGTCGAAGCGGGTAGCCGACTCTGCCAGGTACCTGGACGTTGATTGGTTCAGGGTCATGTTGTTTTACACCACGTGTGTGTTTGTTTGTTTGTTTAAGTTGTGCTTGTACATGTTTGTCAATGCCACGGCGCGCGGTAGGTATGATATGTGTTTAAGACGTTGCATGATGGTAGGCTACGGTAGGCATCGTGCTTGTGCTCAAGTTGCATCGCGATAGCTTGGGCGTGTCAAAAGACGATGTCTCATTAATGGAAAAGAGCCAATCACGGCGCCATGCCATCGCATCTTTGGGCCCTCAGAGGCCAAGACTCGCATCATCTCATCGCATCGTTGGGCCTTCCTGGGTTCGCAGGGGCCCATGGCCTATTCCCCAAGTTTTTCGCTTCTACCCTCTGCTGACGCTGCAGGGCGCCACGGTCTGACTGCGCCCGACGCACCGCGGAGATGGGGGGGGGGGGCGGGGGCGCGCGCGGAGCTGCAGAGGGGTCAAATCGAGAGCCCGATGAGCATGAGGATTGGGCAAACCCGAACCGTTCCAAACTGCTTCAAATCATGAGACCGCCTCCGGGTCACGCCCGAATCGTCTGGGAGCGCCGGCGAGGCTGTTGTTCTCCAGGGGGGTTTTCCCAGAACGACAGGGCGAACATAATTCAAAGTGGATCCTGAGCTTGCGAGGGCGCCCCACATGGGCCCCCCGAGGGCATTGCTGCAGGGGTCGAGGGGTCTACGCAGGGTCTGCGCAAGAGAGCCTTCGGGGGCATGAGGGGGGGGGATAATTGTGGGATGTTTCATGGGGAGCTAGAGGCGCGATTCCCCTGCGCCAAGGCTGGCGGGCTCTCCCCTTTGGCCTTCTCATGCTCTCGCCCCTGCTTATCTTGCCAGTCGCCTCCGCATGTTCTCTCCTGGCTTTCCCTCTTCATCCGCTCCTTCCATTCTTCTCACCTCCGCCATAAGTTTCCACCTCGCTTTTTTCCTGGAGCACGATCTCGGGTAGTGTTCGCGCGACTTCTGCAGCAGATTCGGCGGCGATTTGCGATTCGCTGCGAACGGAGGCAACTGCGATCGCACCGAGTCTTTCCGGCTACGGTCTGGAGCGTTCGAGATTCAGATCGTTTGTTGGGTGGGCCGTGGTGGGCCCGAGCAGCAGACAGACTCCACGGTTGCGCATGCCCTTCAATTGTGCAGACGCTTGTCAACTTGGGATTTACTTGACCGCCCAAGTGAGGAGGTGACTCTTGCAGTTGTTGGTATAACTGGTAGCAGCGTCACGAGCGCGGCGCAGGTAGCGCTTCGCGCCTTTCAATGGCGAAACGCTTACGACTTGCACCAGTGTGAATAATTAGAACGCCAGGCAGGCATAGATCGCGAACATGTGTACCAGGAGGTAAAGACGTTGGCTGTCACCAGGGAGTTTAATCGTTGGGCGGTATAATACGTCCGTCAAGTCTACCAAGATTGCCAACAAGCTCGATTTGAACATCGTGATTTTCGATCGCAGCAAGCCGCGTCGGACTAGAGAGACAGCGCACGCGTGCTTAGATGCATTCAGACATCATCCCGAAGCAGTTTTACAATGGCGGCAAGTGCGGCACAGTCTACCCAAACAAGACCGGGCGCATCGTCTAGCCGCTGAATACGCGCAATCATTTGAAGCACACACGGTTAGACGCATGGGCGACACCACGCAGTCCCAAATGCAGTACCGCATCTTCGGCTGCAATGTGTGTCGAGACGCGTTCATCGCCCTGACTGGCATGCGCGCGTGCACGTTGCAAGACGCCCGCAATGTCGCAGTTGGCGCCAAGATGCCTGCGCTGTCTCATGGCCTGGGGTCCTGGGTGTCCTCGCGCCCACTGACGCGCATGCGCGCTCGGGCATGGCTACTTGCCCACGCAGAGGCCCACGCAGACACTTCGCCCATGAATGTCAGACTGCGTTTGCCAGCTGGCCGCAGATCAGTTTATTCTGCAGTGGGTTTCAATGACAGGAAGCCGAAGAACGCGGACCCTGCGCGCATTGCTTCTCGGAGCTATTATCTGAAAGTCTGGCGCCAAGAATTGCCGTGGTTCCAGCTGCGGGCGACATCGGGGCCGTTTACCCATTGTGTGTGTTTTGCGTTGCGATTTTCTTCGCATGCTCATCGCAGAGGCGAAGGATCAGTGCGCGAAGGACTTGCTGTTGCGAAAACTTGGACAGCATTCTGAAATTCAAGCTGCGCAGAGGTTGGCCATGAACCAACTGTTTGCAGAAAGCGAGCGGCTCCCTCAACAGCTAGTGGCAGTTGGTTGGGACAAGATGGATCCGGCGAGAACTGCCCGCCGGAGGGTGAGAGCGCTGTCCCACACGCAACTCCAGAAGGGTGGGCCAGGTTGATCGAACATCTTATTGGGGTGCTCAGCCCTGCGCTGTGGGGCAATTTTATATTTTACACTGTTGGAAAACCATGTCCAGGGTGGAGATATGATATGTCCCCTGATGGTGGATGTGCTTGTGGAAGCCACGTCAAAGCTTGGATTATTGCCCCGGCGGCTGGTCATACATGCTGACAACGCGGTGAAGGAGACCAAGAACACGATTGCGCCAGCGGCAGCTGGTTGGTTGCTGGCATAGTTGCAGCATACTAGAGCGCAGCCCATTGAATTATGTTACCTCCTTGTTGGCCACGCGCATGATTTGATCGACGCCACCATAGAATTTGTTTGTCGAGCTCGCCATGCCCAGGATGTGCTACCTTCCCCAGACATGTTCTCCAACTCATCCAGAGGATGAAAAGGCAACCATTCTGGAAACATTTGCGAGACTCCTGGGGGTTTAAAGGTTCTCGGCCCCCGAATCTTACAGCACATCATGTCAAGGGTATCACCTTACCGCACCATTTGCGGGTATTTCTGAGTGGCGATGGTGATTTGTGTGTTCAGGCTAAACGAAGGCTCACGACATGCGATAGGTGCAAGCCCATCGTGATCTGTTCCGGGCCTGACATCCCCTATGCGCGTGAGTGGCGGGCGCCGCCCTTGGCCCCGGAATGGCCGGGCACGTTCGTGACCTCACACCTCGCGTGGCTTAACAAGGCCCGAACACTTGTGGAACAATCTGGCCGCGACTGCAGCAAGCATCTTGACTACATGCGCAAACTCGTCAATGATGAATTGCCCGAGTACTTGCCCTCAGGTCAACCGCTCGAGGCGAATGTCAACCTCGCGCGCAAGAACGCGACGCGCGGCGTGGACCAGGCCATGCTTCCGGGGAAGGGCGTGGGCACTGATGGATTGGACAGGGCCACTGCGGCCGCCTTCCCTGGATCATCCACAGGCGGCTGGCCTCCCATAATTTAATATTTCTTCAGCCAGCGCTTGCACTGGATGGGGTTTAGTCGGCGAGAGTTCAGGGCGCCCATGCGCGGGGGTCTACGCGCCCTTGAGCAGCTGATCGTTTTTCTCTTATCACTGGCACCAAAAAACGAGCCACCCCCCTTCCTCCCCCGCACCTCCGCCCAGCCCCCTCACTCGCATCCCCTTGTGGCCCCGCCTCCCGCCCCCCCCCCCCCCCCCTGGTCCTCGCATCCCCACTTCTCGAGGCTTCGCGCATGCAGGCCAGCCCTCGATGTCCGCGCGAGCTGCCCCGACGCACGTCGGGCAACTCGCGGCTGGGGGGGGCGCGCGCGAAGATGGGGGATGGGGGGGGGGGGGGTAAAAGCACGAAGAAAATGATTAGGAGGGGAACGGCGGTTTAGCAGAACACGGCATTCCTTGACAAACCTCGCCACGCGGTCATGGGGCGCCCTCGGGCCTATCTTTGGGCTTCATTGGGTCTTCTTGGGAGCATTCGTGGTGGGGGTCCGTGGCCATTGGGGGCAGTCTTGGAACTGCCTTGGGGCCTTTTAAATAATCTCTGAAGCCAAATTCGGTTGATTTGCGCCTTCTTGGGAGCTTTCCGAGGCCCACTTGGAACGCGCAATTTGGCCATCTCAGACGGTCAAGCTAGCCGCGAACCTCGCGCGTGCCCGAAAGATCAGACCTCTCGCCGAAGCGGGCGAGATGACATAGAGAGGGTTGGGGTGATAATGATTTGTTCGGTCGCTCTGTGGAATGAGGTGGATTTGGGCCGATGCAACTGCTGCAAATTGACAGCGGCAATAACACGGTAAATGCTTGCTGCATGGACCCGCTGGAGTGCGACGTATTCATCGCGTACCGGAACACGGGCAACGCTCGCGAGCAATGCCCTATAAGGGTTGGTAAGGTTATGCGTTTGAACCACGAGCTCGAGGAGCCGAGCGTTGTAGTCGAAATCTACTGGCCTTTATTGAAACCTGCCAAGTTCGGACAACGCCTGAACATGTTCGGCACATGGCTGAGGTGCGCTGCGCCAGTATCGCACGCAGCCCCACCGAACAAAAAAACCCGCTGTTCCGTGGTCAGCTGCGCGATGCATCATGATTGCCACGTGCGATGTCTTAGTTTGGCCTGTCAATATGGAGCATGGCTCCTCAGATGTTGTTGATGGTGTGCGCATTCCGAACAGCGCCTTCGATTATCTGATGCAGAATAGTGGGGCGAATGTCGCGGTGCCCGAATTTACATGTTCCGACCGTGGCAAGGCATGTTACAGGGATGTTGTTATGCGCCATCATGCAGAGAGACAACCTTGCTGAACAAACGCTTTCCCACAATATCAAGGGTGGATGATGATGATGACGAGGAGGGGGGGGGAGGAGGAGGAGGAGGAGGAGGAGGAGGAGGAGGAGGAGGAGGAGGAGGAGGAGGAGGGAGGAGGAGAGGAGGAAGAGGAGGAGGAGGGAGGAGGAGGAGGGGGGGGAGGGGGAGACGAGAACGACACGAAGACGTTCGCAGTCTATGGGGAACCCCATTGGGCGTCCATTAAAGAGCTTCTGAAGGGCCATGTTGAGGCTTTCGAAGTCAGGTCGCAATTCCTTAGGTTCACCTTGGGGCTGCTCATTTGTCGTTTCATGTTTTTTCGCCTCCTCTGTTTCAGGAGGGAGATCGGGGAGGACAGCCAGAGGCGGAGGAGGAGGAACACGAGGATCACGAGGAGCAGGTGCACACACCAGACTCGCATCATCAACATGTTTTGTGATGGTGGCGGTTAAACACCTGCTGCGTTCCTTCGTCTCCACCTACTCCTCCTCCACCTCGTTCCTCCCCCCGTCCTCCTCCCCCTCCCTTTCGTATCTCCTCCTCCTCCTTCCTCCTCCTCCTCCTCCTCCTCCTCCTCCTCCTCCTCCTCCTCCTCCTGCTCCTCCTCCTCCTCCTCCTCCTCCTCCTCCTCCTCCTCCTCCTCCTCCTCCTCCTCCTCCTCCTCCTTCTATTACTCTAATCCTCCTCCCTGTCCTCCTCGTTCCGCTCTCCGCTCCTCCTTTTGCCTCCTAGTCTTCCTCCCTTGGTGGAGCCCCCGTTGGATCCATTTATATGTCCACTTTTGTCCCCCAGCGTCTTGAACCATCGTTTCACTGCATTGCATGGACAAGTGGGTTTGTTTCAGGACTTCATGTGTGAAGGCAGCCCTGCTTGTCCAACTGGCGCGTGATAGAAAGGAACAACTCGCGCGTGCAGTGCTGCAGAAATCAACCCACGCCGTGGGGGGGCTGCTGCCACTGCTACTGATAATTCGATTGTTAATGCTATTGCTACTGCTGCCACTGCTACTGCTACCGCTAGTGCTACTGCTGCTGCTGCTGTTGCTGCTACTGCTACTGCTACTGTAGGAGGATAAGAGGGAGGGGGATGATGTGGAGGAAGAGGCGGAGTCTGAAGCGCGCGTGGAGTCTGAATAGAAAAAACTTATTGTGTATATAACTAGATGGCTGCAACATTATATATAAACATACTGAGCAGCGATAATCGCCTTCCGAAATGGACAAGGGGGGTTGTAATCCAAACCATTGACGCCCAGAGGGCTGGTGGAATTCTCTTTTAACTTTGCCTCTCTTGTTTTTTTGGTTTCTCTCTCTCTCTCTCTCTGTCTCCCTCGTTCTCTCCCTCTCCCCCTCCGTACCTGCCCCCCCTCATTCCCCCCCTCACTTTTCTCCGAGTCCCTCCCCTCCCCCCCCCTTCATCCCGTCCCCCCTTTTCTTCCCCTTCCACTCCTTCCCACACCAGTTTTTCCTCCCGCTCCCGATCCCTCCCCATTTTCGCCTTCCCCCCTCCTGGGCCCCCTCCTGCCCTCCATGCCCCCGACGATGAGTCGAGGAAGAAAGCACGGTTTTCTTCGTCCTTTCGTACGTCCGCGCGAATTTTTTAATCGACGCTAGCCCTCCCAGCGGCGCCTCTGGCGCCGCCCATGATGTGCTCCGCGCGCCATGGGGGGGCCTAGCGCCGATCCAGGAAATCAGCGCGAACCCCCGGCAGCTCCTGTATGTCGTTGCTTCCGTCCTCGACAATGTGCCGCCTTGGGATGGGCCTGGTTCGGGTGTGGCCCCGGTTTGGGCCGCCTCCTCCCCCCCCTCTCCCCGGGGTGGCTCCCTCCTCCTCTCCATCGCCGGAGTCTCACAATTGCGTCCCCTCTCCGTGCGTTGACAGGTGCAGCGGTTGGGGAGTCGGGCAAGGCCCCAAGCGCCGGGCGACCGCACCTTGGAACGGAGGCCCCCGCTTGGCACCTCCCCCACTTGGACAGCCAGGCGGTACCGCTCCTCTATAGCCGCGAACCAGGTGCTGGTCGCAGCAGAGAGACCCCCTCTGGTCGCTGCAGGGTCGCCAGCGTTCGCCGCCAGGCTCGCGTCCCCCTGCTGAAAGAAGCCCACGCCCGAGGGCTTCGTAGAATGCCCCGCCCGGGGAACTCCATCCATCCATCCATCCCACCTTCTCCCCGTCCTCCCGCCCTCCTGGCCATGTCACTCCCTCGGGCTAGCTCTCGGCTTCCCCAGTCGACAGTCAGCGAGTATCGGAGCCGCCCTCGGACCTCCAGCGTCGGCACGCCAGAGGATTTCGTGTCGGCAAGCGCGAGCGCGAATGCCTGCCCAAAATTTGAAGTGGCTCCCTCCTCCTCCTCCTCCTTCTCCTCGTCCTCTTCCTCGTCTGCCCACCTCCCACTCCATCCCCCTCCTTCTCTTTTTCCCAAGCCCGAGGTGCACAATGGGCTATTGCGCCACCTCAGCACCATGCGCGACCTCTACAAGGCGGCCTTATTGTTTTCCTTGCCCCGCGCGGCCTTACGTTCGGCCCAAGCAGCCTCCCAGCACCCCAGAGCCGCGGCTGTCAGTGCTCTCTGCATGCCTTCCGCCCGTCGTCCGCTTAGCTCGTCCACTGGGAAGCAATATCGAAATTCCCAAGGAGTGGAAAAACGTAAGTTCTTCAAGAACGTGATGCGATGACACAAGTGCAGCCCGCAGCGCACCCTTCAAATGGCCCGCGGCCCAAGCTGTCAAAGTCAGCCCGGCTCTTGGAGAGTTCGTGGCCGGGCCTTGCGTTCGCCTTGCTCGCCCTCCGTCCTTCCGCATCATCCCTTTCAGCACGCCTGAGCCCATCCTCTTCTGAGCCCCCCCCCCGAGCATCCGTCCAGGGGGGGTTGGGTTCCTGTTGGGCATCAGCGGTCTGAAATGCCTGGGTGTGCCTAGGCTTCCGACTGCACAAGGAATTTTGGCCCCCGCCAAGAAGGTCGACAGAAGAGTGGTACAGGCAGGGCCCGACAATCCGAATGCCACAGCCAACTCGTGAGCAAGCTCAGGAAGATGGAAGGGGAGGACGGAGGAGGAGGAGGAGGAGGAGGAGGAGGAGGAGGAGGAGGGACCCGCCGGAGGCACCAAGGGGTCTTCAAGCTCGAAGGATCGGGGGTGGAATTCCAGCACCAGCGAGGACACGGCGAGGCTCGCGTCGTCATTACAGGTCGCGGGCGGGTTGCCAGACGGATCGCGGCTTGATTCAGCCACGCGCAGAGGGGGGTGGGGGGAGGGGGGAGGGCTTCTAAGAGGCAGCCTGCTTCTAAGAAGCCCCCCCCCCTCCCCCACCCCCTTGTGCGCGCCGCCAAGTGATCGCGAGGCTGGGGCCGGCAGCGACGACAATCCGCACCGCGGACGTCCAGTACAGCCACGCCACCAGGAACAGTGCAAGACCGCTCTGTGCTTTCGCTTGGACCGTGTATGGTAGATACCACCGAGCGCTGTGGCTGACGGCTGGCTGGCAGCATAGTGCACGAGCGAAATCAGATGTCCACTTGCACGTGATGTCAGGCGCAGTCCACGCATGAAGGGCGGGGCGTCGATATAGCGACGTGTCGAATCATTATTGGCACTTGCTGTCGTTACCCTTCTCCGTTTTTCTCCTCGCCCCGCTTACTGCAGTCATTCGGGCCCGATGGGAGATTACGGCGCGTTCGTCGGACGCGCCCAGCCCCGAAAAAAGCATCCATTACCATCATCTCATAGATAATCCGAGAGACCGACCAAACGTCGGGGGGGGGGGCGTTCCGACAGCAAGTTTTCAGAACCAATGTTTAGGTACTACGTGGCAATCTGCCGCGCCCCAACGTGCCAGGCGGCACGGTGGCGCAGCATGTCTCCGAAAGGCCTTCCGAGGGCGCCGAGGCGGTCCAAGGTGTATCCAATACGCGTTTGAAACTGTCCAGAAGGCTCAAGAGGCCCTAATACAGTCCAGAGAGTGCCCAGGCGGCACAATCGAACCACAAGATTGCCCAACTAGGGCGATGAGATCTGTAGACATCCACCGCTGCTGGCAAGGCCCATCCTGGGCCCCGGAGTGGTTTCTATGCCTCCCTGCCCAAGCCAGGGTGCGTATACACCGCTCCTGGGCCTAAGATGGGCCTGGCCAGCTGCGGTGGATATGTATAGATCTCGTCGCCCTACCAACACGTCATTAATTCGGCCACAGAGATCCCTCTAGAAAGGTTTCCTGCGTGCTTCCAGTCGCACCAAGAGGCCCCGACAGGCCCCAGAGGCCCACCGAGAGAGGCCTAGGCGGCCTCGGCGGCCCCAAAGCGCCCCAGGACAGCCTGACCCAAAAGGATGGACGCATACAGTCGGGGCGCTGAAGAAGGAACCCTTTTCGTTTGGGAGGGGCTCAGTGTTCCTTAGTTGTTATACAGTTCGCCTTCGTTTTCCCTTCGGTTTTCGATCGGGGATTGAAGTTTAGTTTAATTCATGGGAAATGGGGGCCTCGTTCCTTCTTCAAGGTTCCTTGGGTCAGAGCCACTGTTGTAACAAGCTAAGGTTGCCCAAGTGTTTGCGAGAGGAGGGAAGCACACACGAGAAGCCACAGAGAGAGCCTCGAGGCGAAGAGTCGCGACGAAAGGCACCGGACGCAGCAGTCGTCCGAAAACGACGCGGCAGCCGCTGCAGCAAATGGTACGTCCGCAGTCGGCTTTGTCATCCTGTCTTTTTTTGGCTCCAGCGGTTGTTCAAGACGGCCCAAGAGAGGGCCGTGGTTCGAGGAGGGTCACATGACGGACGGGGAGGATTCGGACAGGTTGCAGGAGGCCCAAATCTGTCTCTGTCTTTCTCTTCCCTCTTCGTTTCTCCCTCTCCTCTCCCTCTCCTGCCTGTTTTTCTCTCCTCCCCTTTCAGTTGGGGGGGTCACAGATTCTGATTTTGCCATGTCCTCAGCCTCTCCGGGGTGCGCTCCGACAGCGATTTATGGGCGACTCCGGGCCTGGCAGCGGGGGCCCCCAGGGCCCGCGGGCGTGAGCGCAAACGAGGAACATCGGCATCGGTGCCTGGCCTCTGAGCCACTTTCGATCCGAGTCGATGCGACGCGGTTTGCTGGCCGACTCGATTTTCGATCGGGCGCGATGCCAGCTCGACTCGCGATTTGCGCCAGCAGCGGCCAGGGCCGGAGCCAAGCGCGACGGTCCGAGGTCGAGCCGGTTCAGAACGATTTGTTGGCAAGCCGATCCGTTTCGGATGCGATCCGATTCCGCTATTCGATCCAGCTCGGGCTTGCTTCTCTCTCTCTCTCTCGCCCATCTCCCCCCGCCCCGCTGGGAGAAGCCGCGTGCGAGAATGGAGAAAGGCGCGGGGGCAGGAGGTCGAGAGGGAGGCCCAGGGCACCCCGCAACGGGCGGTCGGCCTCAGTTGCGGTTCCAGTCCAACCCCTCGCCCCCTCTGACGCGACGACCAAGACGCGCTCAAAATCTGCCCCGGCCCCCCATTCGAGAGCCGACCGTGGCCACCCTTCCCTTCCACCCTGGACTATCCTTGGCCAGCTCCGCAACCTGGAACGGGCCGCCATCACGCAGACCTCGGGCGGGAATACGTTGTTTCAGGGCTTCCAGGGACACCCTCAGAGCGTTCCTGATCGCTCTGGAAGCGTCCGCGGCGCCCGATTAACTAATGGCGGCCCCCATCGGTGGGTGCGGTGACCACACCTTGTTCTGACTACAAGTTTGGTGCGGGCCCAATGGGACCTTCTGATCACGAAATGCGATGTGATAGCGGCGGCTTGCGCGACAAGTGGTGTCCCCAAAAGGCCACCTTGGTCGCGCACTAAAGGTCACATTTGCCTAAGGTCACTGTTGCGTGTAGCCGATTGTGGTGAGCCAGTGGAGATTCGGGGTGGCCACACGGTTTTGGGGTCTGCGTCGTTCTCTAAGGACGTCTTGGGCGACTTGGGCATCCGTGGTCCCCAAGTCGTGCGGTGATGGACCGTATAGTCAAGGGCTCCCTCGAGGGCGCGAAGTTATTCGCGCTTCGCGGTCCTCGTTCCTTCTCCCTCTCCTCCTCGTCCTCCTATTCTCCCTTTGGGAGGGCGGCGCGAGAGCGCGAAGTTATTCGCGCTTCGCGCTTCGCGCAGCGCGAAGCGCGAAGTTGGGAGCCCTAGTATAGTGAGGTTCGGCCACGCGCAGCGGGTGGCGTTGGAGTGGGGAAGGCTTCTTAGACTAATCATGCTCCTTAGAAGGCGGAGGCCTTGTCTATAGGCGTAAGGCTGGCGCTCTCTGAGAAGCAGCCTCCTTGTAAGAAGCCTTCCCCCCTCCCCGACCCTCGTGTGCGCCCCGCCCAGAGGCCCTTGGGGATTTCGAGGTCACCGCACGGCCAGTCACCGCACCGTTTTGGGGCCCAAGTCAGACAGGACTCATCCGTTGTTGTCCGAACGCCCGGTGTCTCTTCCACAGGAGCGCGCCAATGGGCTTTGTGCGGCGGCGTTTCGTTGAGACTCTTCTCTTGCTCCCCGAGGTGGTGCGCGAAGTTCAGCGATCGAGGAAGCGGGCCACCATCAGGGGCAACGTAAAGGGGGGGAGCCTCGGTTGGAGTGGGGGATGAATCGGCCCCCAGCCGCCCACGCATCGCCGACAGGGGCCCGAGAGCCCACTCCGCTCGGGAGCGTGCGGATTCACCATCGGTGACCCCTCGGCGATTTACCGACGATGTGCAGCCAATTCCAGGTAGATGTTCCCCCCCCCTGAGCTGGACCCCCGCTGTCATCTCCCCCCTCGCACCAGCGGTGACCCTTCGCTGGAGTGACCTTGAGTGCGGGCCCACTGGAGCCCCCCGATCGCCGAGTGCGGTGCAAAAACACATACTCCGGGCCTGGGTTTGCCCCCCCCCCCCCCCCACCCCCTCGTCCCCCCAAAGCCGCGCACCACAAGTCACTCTTTCCCAGGGTCACTCTTGCGTGCAGCCGGCATACTTGTCCGAGTCCTTCCCCTCCGGCGACCCGCCCGCCCGCGCGCGCAGTCGTACCGCCTCCTCGCGCCCACGCCGGGAGAGGACCAGGCGGGCGCGCGCGCGGGTTTTGGTCGTGGGCTGCTGTGGAGGATCGAAATGGGTACGGAACGAATGGGTACGAATAGCAGGCCCTGTCCATTTTGACCATGAATTGCTGTCGGCATCGCTGGGGACGTTGTCGATTTGAGACAGGAGGCCGCCTGCCCAACAGCGGCCGCTGTCGTTATTTGACAACATGTGTTGTCGGGCATCGTACCCATGTTTTCCGTACCCATCTCGGGCATCCAAAGCTGCCATCAGTGATCTTGGCTTGAGATTGCCGGTGCTCCTGTCATGCAATTGCGAGGCGTCTTTTCTTGCAATAGGCCCGCCAAAGAATGCTCTGAGAACCTTTCTGGCGATTTGCACGAAATGCTCTCAGAACAATTCTGTTTGAGACCGTTTTGTTTTGATACATCGGCACAATATCCAAAGAACACTATTGTTGTTATTCGCACATTAAGTCCGTTCTAAGAGAATTTCGTGGTCGGCCTGTGGGAATGCCAAGAGGATCGTATCCTACTCAATCCGAGCTTGCGCGCAAGACTAGGAGCCCAAGGTGGCCCTCTGGGCCTCACGAGGGGTGCTCAGGAGGCCACCTGGGCCTCCCTGAATGTCCTGGTCGGACACCCTCGGCCAGACGCGCCCGTGTCAACTTCCGACCCTGATCTTTTAGAGCGCTGAAGCATAGGCGTGTTCGCTCGGTTTGTGTCGTTTCGACGCGGCAAACGACCCCGCCGCGGGCGGGGCGCTCCAGGTTCAACTGCCAGCGGCCCAGAATCGGCCAATACGGAACGATCTGATGTATGTGATAGCCGCCGCCGGTCTTCAAGGTTTACCGATTCGGGCGGTGTAAGGAACCAGTCGGCGTTGTTTCGACACGAACTTGCCGTATTGTTAGGCCCCGAATAATAAGTGAGGATCCCCCCCCGTGCTCTTTCAGGGGGGGAACAGCTCTCCAACCGACCAACTATTTTTTATGAATCATTCCCTCACGGTTGCGGCGACTACGGAGTTGCGGCGGTTCAGTTCCTGTTGCCCGTTATGATTCGCGTGTTGTCGAGAAAGATGGCTCTGGCGATCTTGGGCGGTTCAAACATCTATTTGTCTTGGTCCCAACCGTTGAAGAAACAAAATCTTGGACTCACCTTGCAGACCCATCAGGGCTGCTTGAAGCCTCGGCGTGAGTTTTCAGCTCGAAGGTCCTGGCGGTCTGCGGTGCGTGCCAGCACACGTGTTGCCGCCGCTCGCAGGCGCTGTTGTGGTGCACAGAGCCCTGTAGTCGTATTACGGCGCCTGCAGGCAATACATTCGGCATCACGTCATGGGAGCCTGTTGTACCGTCGTAATTCCGTCTTCAGTGTGCACTAGCGTCGACTAGCGCCTGGCAGTCGATGAGACAGCGTCGAATCGTGTCGATCAGCGTCGATTTGGTGTCGAGCAGCGTCGATTAGAGCCGATTCGCCAGAGCCAGCAAGACGGTATGGGAGGCTCCCACGAGCTGTCACCGAAAATGCATTGAAGCGGCGGGATCGGGCCTGCCGTGTTGCATATACACGCCAGTCGTTGAAGGTAGGTATTTCTGGACATCGAGACCCCATTCTACTTCAGGCGCCTTCCTACTTCAAGAGTCGATGTGGTTTGTTGTTGCTGTTTTCACTCGTTGGGAGGTCCCGAACCCAATCTACTTTATCCGCCTTCCTGCTTCATGCTTCCACGTACCTCTTGCAACCAGCGGGTATTCTTCTGCTCCTCGGAGGCCCTCCGGGGCCGTGCGGGGCGCGGCGAGCTGCTCGCCGCTCGGCGGCGCGCAGGAGGGTTCTGCGGAGACTGCCCGATCATTACTCGAAACAATTGCTCTTGGAAACACGAGCGCAGATGGATACGCGTGTGCCAGAGGAGGAAGAGGTACCGATACCGCTGCCCTTCCCTCGTTTTCACATGGTTGGGCCTCCTGGGAGTCGCCATCGCTGGATTCGCATCGAAGTCCTGGTTAGGACGTACCCCAGGAGAGATCCAGAGACTAGCGGTATCGGTACCTTTTGGTTTCCCCAGACGCGTGTGCATCACACAGTTTGGTATCGTTTCTCCGATCTCTAGCCCTCTCCCCATCCCGATCCCACCCCTAAGGACGGGGTACCTCAAACAATAGAAATCCACCCTTGGATCCCTTGCTATCCTTACGATCCCATCTCTCAAGATCCCATATTGGAGCCACAGACAATGGGCTCAAAGTCCATCTCTAGTCCTTGCGAATTATAAACAGGATCCGTTGTCGACCTCGCCGCGGTCGTCGCCCATTTGAGACACACACAACACACAACACAACACAACACACAACACAACACAACACAACACAACACAACACAACACAACACAACACAACACAGCACAGCACAGCACAGCACAGCACAGCACAGCACAACACAGCACAGCACAACACAACACAACACACACACAGACTCGCTTTCCCGATAGAGGCCACTGTCGGTGTTGGAAAACTTTTGTCGTTAGGCATTGTTCGCCTGTCTTCCGTACCCCTTTTCGGGCGTCCACCAACACGAATCGCTCCAGAGCGGTCCAGAACGCTCTCAGAGAGTTCCAGAGCGGAGCGCGCACGACTCCGGCGCTCGCCTCGCCTCCAGGCCTCCAGGTGGCGCGGGCGCCCCCGCGCGCTCAGCACCCTGCGGCTCGTGCGCTGACAGTTGGCAGCCACACGTTACTTTGCATCCTGGGGGGACCTTTCCTGTCCTGTGAATGGCCGTATTTTCTTGCACTCCGACGTGGGTTCGACGCGGATTCGATGTGGATTCAACACGGATTCGACACAGATTCGACGTGGATCGCGGCGAGACGGGACAGATACGGTCCCCCGAGGATGCAACTCAACATACGTAGGCGACCCTTCAGATTTCTCGGGTTGGAACTCTGGATGGGGCCATGGGTGTGTTTTGTCGGATACGGGTCCCCGCTCGAGCGGGAGCCCCCCTTGGGGTCTGACGGCTCGCACCCATCTTTACGGCGCACTCATCGTTTTGCGTTTCCCCATTCCTCATCCCAACGGTCGGGGGAACGTAAGACTCGAGTTCACAGGAACTCGGGTTTGCCCACCTTTTTTGACATGCCCGTCGTGAATTTTGACGGTCCAGTGTTCGTTGGATGTTGGCAGCGGCAGTTCGCGTCAAATTTCAGTGTTAGTCTCGTCTTCTTCTTGGCGGCTCCGTCAGGCCAACCCGAGTCCTCCGAACCCAAGCTCTACGTCTCCCCGACACAGGTTTGCATGTGCATCGTTTTTTTCATCAGCGGCAGCCGTTTTCGAGGAAGAAGAAGACGAAACAGAAACAACAAGAAAATAATAATAATAATACTAAGAAGAAGAAGCCCTTGCGTAAGCACAAACTTTGTGAGCTCCGCGAGGGCGCCATTGGCGGCGCATCCGGCGCCGCCCCTGGCGCGCCAGGGAGGGGGGTCCAGCGCCGATCCAGGAAGTCCGCTCGGACTTCGGACCTTCAAATGGTTCTGTCTATGCAGCGTGGCAGTTCCTCCTTCCTCCGCGTGTGAATGTGCTGTTCTGTGGCTACGGCGGCAGCGGTGTGCTCAGCTCGGGCCGTCCGTCCCCCCTCCCCGCTCCCCGCCTGCCCGGCCCACCGCGGCGCGGCTCTGCCGCCCGCAGGATCCCTTCGTGATGAGGACGCGCGTGCCGCACCGGCGCCGAGCGGCCCCTCTCTCGGAGGACGAAAAGGACGAGATAGCACGCTACACTTCGACCGCCATCCGTATATCACCGCCCACCAAACCACCCCAACCCAACCCGAAGGCCTCAATTTGCCCTCCATTTCCAGTGGGGGGGGGTCCGGGAACATCGAAAAAACACACATGGAGCCCATACCCCCCCCCAACCCGAAATTCGGGTCTTCGGGTTGGGTTGGTGTGGTCTGGTAGGTAGTCAGTATAGGTCGTCGTTACCACCAGCAAGAAAGCGGGGTCGTTTGCGCCAACATCATAGGCGCGTAAGCTGCCCTCACAAGGTCGCGCGTCAGCGCCCTCGTCTCCCATGTAGCATGCCGTGCCTGTCCCTCTCTCAGAGGACGACAGGTACTCAGAGCCCCGAATCATCAGGGGTAACTCGGGTCAGGGATAACTCGGGTTCGTTTTTCGGGAATCCGAGCCCGAGTTATCCCGGACCCGAGTTACCCCGGATAACTCGGGCGTCCAGAGCCCCGAATCATCAGGGGTAACTCGGGTCAGGGCTAACTCGGGTTCCTTTTTCGGAAATCCAAACCCGAGTTACCCCGGACCCGAGTTACCCCGGATAACTCGGGCGCCCAAGGTACCCCTACCACCACCCTTCGCCCGTCTTCCCATTTCTGGGCCTCCTGGGACGCCCTCGTCGCCACCGCTGGATTAGGGCCTCGAACTCCTGGTCAGGACGCACCCCGAGAGAGGTCTGGGGAGTTCCGGGGTCGGTACTTTTTGGTTTCTTCACCTTTTTTCCGCAGGTGGTTCAAGGATGGGGTCCTGGGTCCTGAGGGATGGGGTCCTGAGGACAAGAAGGGATCCAGGGGTGGATTTTCATTGTTCGAGGCACCTCGTCTTTAGGACCCCATCCCTCAGGACCCCATCTTTGAACCACCGATTTCCGGAGCAGAGAGTAAGTCGGCCACGCGTGAGAGTGGCCTCTCGCCAGAGAGACTTATGCGGGCTTCCAGGGTGGCCCCAGCACCGGGCCCGCGCCTCGGCTTCGGGCCCTTGGCGGTCCCGTAGAGCCGCGGGCCCAAGGTCAATCTTGCCTAGTGTCACTCTTGCGCGTGATCGGCTCAGGGGCAGTGATGGGCTGAAGTCGGGCATGTCCCTCTACAGGAGGAATATTCGGAAACAGTCAAACAATAAGCTGGGGACGATCTTTCAACTATTTTTGACTATTCTTGAATCTGTTCGAGTATTTTCATTTTTCGTTCAAAATCCGCCTGTAGGAGGACATGCCCGGCCTAAGCCTAGGGTCACCCTTGCGTGTGTTCGACTCGGGGGCAGCGATCGGTTGAAGCTCGCCGAAGGGCAGCGAGCGCGGTCTGTGTTTCTGGGGCGTCGGAGGGGGGACATTGCTCGCAGGGCAAGAGCAAACCTCAGCAGCCCAATCGTAGGTAAGATCAATTCTCAGATCTTAGCTTCTTGCGAATGGGGGTTGTAAGGACTGCTATTGACGGATCAAGCGCGCTGGCCGAGTGTACTGGGATTTGGCCCTGGAAGCAACGTTGCGCCCCCAAGCGACTTCCAAAAGGCAGGGAGAAATTTCGGTCGGTTGCCCCCACACGGTGTGGTGACTACACCGCGTGGTGAGGCAGTGGGATTCGGGGTCACCGCGTTCCCTGAGGACGTCGAGCGACTGGGGCCTCCAAGGTCCCCGGACCGTGCCTCGTCGCCTCTTCTGTTCTGCACGTGCGAGAAAGCGTCGACGGTTGGCTCAAGGTGAGAACTCCAAGTTGCAGAAGCTCTCGCAGCGCAGTTACATTGCTGCCACCCGACTGAACCGAGTTCTTCCCAGGATGGCATTGTCTAATGGCGGACGCCTTCGGTTGCTGTGTCGTAAGACGGAGCAGTGCCGCTTCTACCAGAACGGCGCTTGTACGCGCGGGGCGGCGTGTACTTTCGCACACGGGGAGCAGGATGTCCAAAAGAAGCCAGATTTCCAACGTACGAAGCGATGCCCCACGGTGGCCACTGGCCAACGCTGCGAAGACCCTCGTTGCCCCTTCGCCCACACCGCCGAAGAGTTTCGCAAGTTCAAGCCAGAGCTGGCCGCTGTGGATCAAGATGTCGCTGCCAGCACGAAGAAGAGGTCTGGCCGAGGCTTCAAGGCAGAGAACTACCTCAGCAGTTGCAGTACCACAAGTTCTTGCGGACTGGCGAACTCCGACGCGGGCACCGATGACACGGGCAACTTCTCGTTGGGCTTCGGTCAGTGCAATGGCAGGCTCGAGGGATGCACAGGCAGGATCAACGCAGACGCCAGTTGGAGCCGCCAGACTACCACGTGTTCTGACAGTAGCTTCGGCCGCCAGACCTCTGACAGCGGCTGCGGCCGCCAGGCTCCCGACAGCGGGTTCAGCCGCAAGGCCTCCGAGTGCTCCCAAAGCGTTCGGCGTCCGAAGCCCACGAAGCACAACACGCGCCTATGCTCTTTCTACATGGTCGGGAAGTGCAAGAAGCCCGACTGCACCTTCGCTCATGGCGCCCAAGAGCTGAAGCCGCGCGCTGGCCACGAGGAGTCCGCCTCCGGCGAGGAAGGCCGCCGCCACAAGCAGGGCCAGTCGACGTCAGATCGGGGTGGCGCGCGGCTGACGGCCTGCCTGGAGATCGAGCCGGCGCCGGACGCGCCGCCGCGGCCCCGGCCGCTGACGCCGGCGTGGGATTCAGACAGCACCTCGGAGCACGAGCCGGGCAGCCCCGGCCAGCAGCGGCTGTCCTCCCTCGGGGACGACTCGTGGGCGCCCCTGGCCGAGCTCGAGGCCCACCAGGGGCAGCCCGCCTCCCCCCAGTCCTGCGCGGAGGAGGACGGGCGGCGCGCGCAAGGGAGCAGGGCGAGGGAGGGGCTCGGCGCGGTGCAGGACGACGACGACGACGACGACGAGGACGTGGACGGGGACGAGGACGAGGACGACGCGACGACGACGACGAGGACGAGGACGAGGACGATGGCGAGGACGGCGACGACGACGAAGACGAGGGCGAGGGCGAAGACGACGACAACGACGACGACGACGACGACGACGGCGACGGGAGGGGGAGGGAGTCACCGCCCATCAAACCACCCCAATCCAACCCGAAGGGCCCGATTTGCCTCCATTTCCAGTGGGGGGGGGTCGGGGACCATCAAAAACACATATGAAGCCCGTATCCCCCCCCCTCCCGATGTTCGGGTCTCCTGGTTGGATTGGGGTGGTCTGGTAGGAGAGAGCGTGATCCACCGCCGCTCTACTGTGGAAAGTTCCCCCCCCTCTTCCTTCAGAACCCAGGGGTCCCCCCCCCCCTTCGAAAATCCCCCCCCCTGCTGGAAACCCGCTCCCCCCCTCCCCTCCCCCGGCAAACCCCCCCCCCTCCCCTAACCACTCCCCCCCCCCTTCCCCTCCAAAACCGGGGGGGTCACTACCGGTTCGACCCCCCCCCCTCGAAAACCGGAGGGGTGGTCACTACCGGTTCGAACCCCTCCCCACCCCCCCCTCACCGCCAGCAAACGACTCCCGGTCCCTACCACCGTCCTCACCACATCCCCCACTGTTGTTCCCAGCACCACTGTCCTCACCACCACTGTCCCCACTGGTTCCACCACCGCCCCTACTGTCCCCACCAGTGCCACCACCACTGTCGCACTGTCCCCACTGTCCCCACCACTGTTCCCACCACGGTTCCACTCTCCCCATTTTCTCCACGGCCCCAACCATTGCCCGACTATCCCCACTGTCCCACTGACCCCTCCGCTGTCCCACTGAGCTGCCCCACTGTTCCCACCACTGTCCCCACCATTGTCCCCACTGTACCTCTGTCCCATTGTCCCACCGCCGTCCTCGCCACCGCCTTCACCACTGTCCCCACCACCACTGTACCCTCCACTGTCCTACTGTTTCCACCACATTCCCACTGTCCCCACACCACTGTCCCCACCACCACCGTCCCCACCACTGTCCCCACTGTTCCCACCATTGTCCTCACCACTGTCCCCACCACTACCGTCCCCACCACTGTCCCACTGTCCCCACCACTGTCCCGCTGTCCCCTCACCACTGTCCCCACCACCACCGTCCCCACCACTGTCCGCACCCCCCCCTGGTTTTCGAGGGGGGGGTGGGGGTTTCGAACCGGTAGTGACCCCCCCCCTTTTCATGATGGACTGGGGGGGGAGGGGTTCGAACCGGTAGTGACCCCCCCCGGTTTTCCGCCAGCAGCGGTAGAACACGCTCTTTCTTTGGTAGGTACGGCAGGTTCGTGTCGTGTCGACTGGCGGCGACCCTTCCAGCGGCGTTCAACGTTGAACGCCGCTGAACCTCGAATCGTTCGATGTGGAACGATTTGGACGTTTCGGAAACGGCCGATCGTTCAAGGTTGAACGATCCCCGCGGCGTCAGGAACCAAAGCCAGGGTCGACACGAAGCGAACCTGCCGTAGTCAGGGAGGGGGGCCTCTCAGGAGGGTGCTGGCCTCTCCCAGAGAGGAGGCCGCCGAGGGAGGCGAGGGGGCTTCCGCGAGGCGGGGTGCCTTCTCTCGGCAGGCCGGGGCCCCCCTCCCCTCTCGCCCTGCTTCTGCAATGCTACAGCCAAGACGCCGATGTCAGGGCCACGTTTAGGGAAACGAGCAATGACATAAACATAGAAACTCAGAGGTCCGCGCGGATTTCTCGGATCCGCGCTGGACCCCCCTGGCGGCGCCGCCGCGCTCAGCGCCGATCCGAGAAATCCGCGCGGATCTCAGAATTTGTATGTTTATGCCATTCTTCGTCCTTCTAGATCGGACACGTCCCTCTACTGGAGGAGTATTCTAAGATAGTAAGAATTGTCAGGGGACAATTTTTCGATCTTGGTTTTATACTTTTTGAGTATTGTCGAGTAATTGTTGTTTTTCCTCCCAAATCCGCCTGTAGGAGGACGTGCCCGACCTGAGGCTACAGCGAAGACGCCGATGTAAGGGCCACGTTGGGCTCAGGAGGGGCGGTGGTCTCAGGGCCGCTCCTTGGTTCCAGGGTGGGGCCCTTGTGCGCGGCCTGGACCCAGGCCCGACGTGGCGAAAAAAGCGCTCCTCGTTCCTGAGGCGGCGTCCTCGTGGTGGCGCGGTGGCTGTCGGCGCCTTCTGCCCAGATGTCCGTGGATGGTTACGGTGTTTCCCATGCGCTGCCCCAGATGTCCCGACCCTTTCCCCGGGGCCAGTCTTCTGTCTGGGATCCATGGTTGAAGGCCCTGGGGTCCAACAACCAATTGTGGCCCCCAGAGGCCAGCACCGAGAAGAAACCTTGGATTTGAGAGCGCATATCGTCGGAGATTTGGGAGCGCGCCGCGAAGGAGTACACGCTGATTGTCCAGAAAACGTTTTTGACCGTCGTGGGGGGGCCTCCCGCGGAGCAGCTGCAGCTTCGGCGGCGCTCGGTCCCGTGATGTGCGTGTAATCCCCGGCGCGGCGTCGGCGCCGTGTTGGCTGGTCTCTGGCGCTGCGGGCGCGCCGTCAGCGTCTGGCGATAAACATTTGCGTTATCGGGCCCATTCCGAGTCGTCCGATTCGATTTCGTTTTCGTTGGCCCCGATCCGCTTCGATTCCGATATTCCGACGCCCGATGCGGCCCGATGATTGCATGGCATTGTTGTGCATCTTGGCGCGGCCGATCCCATTTGGTTCCGATTTCGTGCCGATGCAGCCCGATCCGATGAAAGTCCCGATCCGATCCGATTTTCCGATTCGACGTTTGCCGTTCCTCGGTTATTGGGCCCGCCGTTCCCCCCTCTCCCCGTAGAACCTGACCTTGTCCGTTGCGCAGAGCCGAAGGGGTGCGCAGTGCTGGTTCGCGCGTGCATAGGTGGAGCTTCCGGCACATCCCTCCCCCCCTCCCCCCGCCAGATATCCCGGTCTATCGCCTGAAAATGCAAAACGATTTTTTGCAGAAGATTCTTCGCGTGCTCGTGCACGCTCACGTGTAAGTGAGGCGCGAAGGATTTCAGGTTTTCTGCCGATTCGGGTGTTTCCTGCGGTGCTCGGCGGTTTTCCAGCCTCGGGATGCTTTCAGCGGCTGCGCCTCGTCGAGAGTGTTCCGCACGTGCTCGAATCGTCCCGAATGGCTGCCAGAGAGACGAGTTCACGGAAAGCCAAGGGCAATGTGGGGGGTGACCGACCGAGGGGGGACAGTGTCGACCCCGAAAGGCCTATCGATCGCCGGCAGGGGCCCGAGAGCCCACCCCCGCTCACGAGCGCGCGGACTCGCGATCGTGGGCCTATCGACGATCTGTCGGCGATGCATCGCCGATTCCCTCGATGATTCCCCCTTGAGGTGAGCGCTTTTGTTTTCTCACCAGGGCAACGCTCCCTGGCCAGACCAAACCGCCCCTCCCCCGGGTAATGCTCACGATCGTTTTGGGGGAGGCGGCCTGGACCTCCCCTGCAGACCCTACATGCTGTGGTGCGCAGGCGATTGATGCGCTGGTGGCGCGGACGCACCCTGGCCGGTGCACGCCGCGGCCGCCGTCAGCCGTGACCCTCCCGCCCGAATTCCACCCCCCCTCCCTTGAGTAACGACCGCTGCCCGGGAAAGAAACCAAAACGATCACGTGCCGACCCGCCCTTGTCGATGTCTCTCATGGATGAGGGGTTAAAGCAGGGTGTGTTGAGGTTCGAGCTCCAGTCCGCGGGATCGGCACCGATGACGGTGTTGTTCTCATGGCTTGTCCGACTCATGCGCGCCTCAGCCATGCAGGTTCTGTGGAATGAGCTGGAGCATGGCTTTGTGCATCATGAATGAGCCTGCTAGCCGCGATGCTCTTGTCGGCCGCTTCAGACTAGTTGCTTTTCAGGGCACTCCGGCCCCGCCCCGCTTAGTCCGCTCGTGTGGACACTTGCGGGCACAATCACCGTCAGTCGAGCGGAGGCGTCTCGGGTTCATTTGCGAGACAATTCGTTCGGACAGCTCTTTGCGTGTGCATGGGCGCGACGGCTGGAAAAGCTCCGTTGCCGCATTGCACTCTGTTGCTTTCAATCTCTTTGTGCGGCGCGCGTCGTGGTCTCGTCGACCTGCTGGTGCGTCAGCCACGCGAAAACGGGGGGGAGGGGGGAGGACTTCTTAAAAGCCCCCCTGCTTCTTAGAAGGCGCGGGCCTTATCTATAGATGTAAGGCCGGCACCTTCTATGAAGCAGCTTCCTTCTAAGAAGCCTTCCTCCCTCCCTCCACCCCCTTTGTGCGCGCCGCGAAGTGCTCCCCGACGGCCTGCAGTGTGTCGGCAGCTCCAGTCCTGCTGTTTTTGCTCCCCGACTATCTGCACTCGTGGGCAACTCTGAGCCACGACTCGCCCCCGGTCCCCCTGTCGCGTCCGCGTCCTCGTGTCGGGGGAGCGTAAGACCCGGGTTTGCCGGGACTCGGGTTCGCCATCGTTTTTTGACGACCGCGCCTCGGATTTTGACGAGGAGGAGTTCTGTGGGATGTCTGCAGCGGGAGGCCTCGTCAAAATGCAGGCTCGACCTCGTCATTTTTTTGACGATCTCGTCGGGGATTTCCGAGTCCCCTGTACCCAGGTCTTACGTCCCCCTGATTCTTGGGATGGGTTCCCCAGGGGCTCCGAGAGGCTCGGTGCGCGCACGCGCCACGACAGCTTGCGCGCTCTGCGGGCCTGCAGGTGCGCAGCGGGCTTTGCAGTGGTCAGGTCTCCGCGTGCGTTCCCCTCAGGAGGAGGAGGAGGAGCCGGAGGAGGGGGGGGGAGGGGAGAGGAGCGGGAGGGGAGAAGAGACAGGGACCAGGAGCACGGGCATCGCACCGCCAGGAGGCTTTGTGTTTAAAGCTGCCGATACGTAGCGAAGGCATAGCGACATAAGCGAGTTTGCATGGGCGCGACGGCTGGAAAAGCTCCGTTGCCGCATTGCACTCCTACTGTCTTCGCTCGCCGCTTGCTTTCTCGTCAGCGAATGTTGGCGTTTAGCCAATCCTCGGGGCAGGGGCGCTCATCCCCATGGCTCGCGGCTGGGGCTCTCATTTTCACCCGTCGGCCTCACCCAGCAGTCCCGCCTGTGGGCGGCACTTTTGCAGAGCGGAGGCTTGCAGTCGGCAGGCGTCTCGTGGGCCTGGGACGTCTGGTGGCTCGCCTTCGTAGCAGGAGGCGGAGCGAGAGGTGAGGCGAGAGAGGGACCAGGAGCCCGGGCAGAGCGCCGCGTGGAGGCGCTGTGCCTCCAGCTTGCTGGCCGCGATGTGCCGCCGATTCCGGTCCCCCGGAGGTGCTGACTCAGCTGACGCCTTCCGCCACCGTATCGCGGTGTTCGCGATGCGGCAGCTCGAGGGAAGTGATATGGGGGATAGGCAAAAGGGGGGGGATGCATCGACCCCGATCGCCCGTTGATCGCCGATAGGGGCCCGATCGCCCCACTCCGCCCAGGAGGGTGCAGTTTCGCTATCGGGAGCCTATCACCGATCTGTCGGCGATGTATCGCCGATTCCAGGTCGATGCGTCCCCCCTCTGTGCCAGTCCCCCTACCGTTGCCCCTCAGCAGAGTAGCAGATAATTGCTTGGCCGCGCGTGTGTGGTTAGCGCGCTTTTTTTGCCGACGGCGCTGTAGAGTTCCACCCTGTGCGCTAGCGGTGCTCTCCGACGCAGCCTTGGCTTCGAGTGGGCAGTCTGTCGGAGGTTGGGGGGTGAGATCGCAGTGGAACGGAGACCCCCAACCGGGAAATCGTTTCGTTTCCTTCGTGTCGTGCGTGCGGGCGAGGCGAAGCTGCGTGGGCGCGCCAGAGGAATGCACCCGCCGTTGCTAGGGCGAAGTCAAGACTAATGATTCTCCCCCTCGCGCCCGTCCGGCGGTGGCTCGCGGTGTCTCGCGGTATCCCGTGGTGTCCCGTAGTGACCGCCGTTGCTGGGGCGAAGTCAAGACAAATGATTCTCCCCCGCCCGCCCGTCCGGCGGTGGCTCGCGGTGTCCCGCGGTGTCCCGTGGTGTCCCGTGGTGTCCCGTGGTGTCCCGTTGAGTGAGATCGATATTGAGATCGATATTGAGATCGGATGTGGTGTCCCGTGGTGTCCCGTATTGTCCCGTGGAGTCCCAAAAAGTGAGATCGATAGTGAGATCGATGGTGAGATCGCCAGGTATCACGAGGTGTCCCGTGGTGTCCCATGGTGTCCCGTTGAGTGAGATCGATAGTTGGATCGATAGTGAGATCGACACTGAGATCAATGTGGTGCCCCGAGATGTCCCGTGGTGTCCCGTGGTGGCCCAACAAGTTTGATCGATAGTGAGATCGCCAGGTGTCACGTGGTGTCCCGTGGTGTCCCAAAAAGTGAGGTCGATAGTGAGATCGATAGTGAGAACGATGTGGTGTCCTCTGGTGTCCCGTGGTGTCCTCTGGTGTCCCGTTGAGTGAGATCGATAGTGAGATCGATAGTGAGACCGAGAGGTAGATCGAGAGGTGTCCCGCGGTGTCCCGTGGTGCCCCGAGATGTCCCATGGTGTCCCGTTGAGTGAGATCGATAGTGAGATCGATCGTGATATCGACAAGAGTCCCGGTGTCCCGTGGTGTCCAGTGGTGTCCCGTTGAGTGAGATCGATGGCGAGATCGATTGAGTTAGACGTTGGTTCCCCCCCTCTCACTCCCCCCCACAACCTCCTTATCACCCGAAGGGTGGTCGTATAGGTCTGATATGGTGTTTTGCAGGCTTGTGTTTGCCTTGCTGGCTGGCGGCCCAAGTCTTTCTTGGAGGAGCCAGTTTGAGGGCTCTACGGCTTGAGGACGAGATGCAGGGAAGTAACGTAGCGATCGATAAGGCCTCGAGAATGAAACGATGCTGGTAGTCGGTTCAGTCCTGCGCGACCAGGCACCTCAGGTTTCAGGTTGCTGGATCGCATCTCCACGCCCTCTGGTGTGGCTCAATACCTCGTCCTGAGGCGGAACTCGTCTGTGCTACATTCGCGCGTCTCAGATTTCAGACGAAGCCGCCGCTGGCGTTTGGCCATCCGCACGCTATGCCTGCGCCAACGCCCAAACAGTGCTTGCACGTAGAAATTCTGAGTCTTGTTGCGAGGTGATGGGATGAGTGTGCCGGGGGTATGCGTTGGGTGGGTTTGCCCAGTGTTCGGTCAGTGCCCGCCCGTCGGCGCCTCCATTTTTAGTCCTTCCGCGATTACCACCACCACTTCTGCTACGACCACTGCTACCACTACTACTGTTACATAGCTTGCGCCACATAGATTGCACCACAGTCCTTTCACCACGTAGTTTCCATCAGCTAGATTGCACTACAGTTCTTTCACATCATAGCTTGCACTACGTTGCTTCACCGCATATAGCTTGCACCACCGTGCTTTCATCACATAGCTTGCAACACCTTGCACCACCACGTAGTTGTCTCATCCACAGTACATTACTCACTGTTTGGAGTCCATGTTGGCGAAGATGAGGTTTTTCGCCAGAGCTGCTATTGCCGCACTTGCCACAGTCATTGGGGGAGGTGCATGGAGGGGCTATTAGTCTGATCATGCCAACACTGACGAGCTCTTGTAATATGCGGGATCATGCGAGCAAGGGTATACAAGGAGATGTGGCATAAAGGATCGTCGTGCGATAGTGCTTTCGAACCTCAATTGGCTGATATAACTGCAGGAGTTGCTCGGGGCGCTTTGACCCCCATAGGCTCTCCAGAACGGTTCTGGTTACAGCAGACACAGCTGTTTGCGCCACAGGAGGATATGGCGCTAGCATGCTTGCGCATCAGAGATGAAGCAGATCTGAGATGCTAGGTGCTGTTCGTTGGGCCATCACGACTAGCTAGCCTTCGATGGCTGTGCGCGTCAGCCAGTATTTTTTGCTGAGTCGATCTGTGTGACTCAGAGCTCTCCAGCTGCTCTAAATCCCGAGATCGAGTCGTAAGCTGACCCTGCGCATAAAACAAAGTTACATATTGCGAATCGTGTTTCGGTCAAAGCTCGAGTATGAGTCCGATCTGTGGTCTCTCCATGCCCCAGACCAATCCTTTCAAGGCTGCAGAATGTTGATCAGGGAAGGGGAGTTTCGAGATGATACTCGATTCCCAGGTGGTGCATTTGGCTCTAAAACAATAGTGTCGAGCGTCAGCCAGGTGTTTCTTGGTCGGATCTCCTTGCCCCTCTCAAGTAGCAATTCTCAGGAGTTTCATTTAGTTATCGACCCGTTTATGGCCTTGGTGCTAATCCAGCTGATTCCAGTCGAATTCTTAATCCAGCTTGATCTGACTAGATACAGCTTGATAGCTCCTCGACCAAGTCGGCTTGATCTTCGCCCTGGAGTTGCCGATAGTTTGCGCGCGTGCCCGCAAATCGGCGGCGAACGAGGGGGGGAAGTGAGAAGGAGAAGGCCTTCTCAGAAGGCTCGGCAGTCCCCCGGCCTTCTGAGGAGTGTTTTAATGCTTCCCCGGAGACGCAGAAACCATTTCTTAAGGCGCGAGGGTTTCTGAGAAGTCCAGCCGCCTTCTGAGAAGGCCTTCTAATTCTCACTTCCCCCCCTCGCTCGCCGCCGAATACAGGTGTCACACCTGTTGCCAACTGGTTCCTCCTCCCCTTCACCCCGCTTCCCACCCCGTCTGCCTCTCGACCGCCGCGAGAGCTGGCCCGGGCGAGTCCCCATCCCAGCTCGCCTGCAGTGCCCCGATGGCCAGGCGCGCCGCCTCGCTGCTGCATTCCTTCCTACTTTCGGTCGGACGGAATGTGGAGCAGTGGCGAAGCGCCCTGGTTTCCCGATAGTCCCACCAACGAATGTTCTAAGAACCTTTCTGATGTTTGCACGATATGTTCT